ATATATCCCTTAAGGGAATAAGATTTTAGATATATCTAAGGGTAACTACCAGGCTTCTATACCTATAAGGATTCTTAAATATAAGAATCTTTTACAGGGCCCTATTAATAAAGGTAATAAAAGGATAGTTTCTGTCTTAGGCAGAATATCTAGCCTAGATGAATATTTTAGGTAGAATATCTACTAAAAGAGGCTTTTAAAAGTAAAAAGTAGTAAAATAGCTTAAGGAAAGAACTTAGGAATAATTCCCCAGAGCTCTCTAAGAGGCTCTAGGCTCATAACCTATAGAATAAGTAGAGAGAGGTTTAGAATATGAAGATATTTTATTTTTTTTTATTATATATATAAATCTATGTTTACTATTATACAGTGGAAGGAGCTATCTACTGAGTGAGATCATATGATTAGATCTCCACCATACTGAGTATGGCCACACGATCCATCAATGTATATATTGCCAGTAATGTGCAAAGGTATCATGATATTATCCCTAACCTGTAGCTTAGATTACTAAATAAAGCTATTCTAGTTAATATTAGCCTTCTTTATTTTACTTTAAGCTATTAGAACTAAATAAAACTACAGGTAGTCTGATTAAGATATATTAATATAATATTAGAGTCTCTAAATATATTAAGGAATAATATCTTAAGAAGGAAGAGGAAAGCCTCTTATATTTTTTTTCCCTTATCCTTAATACTCTGCTTCTCTATCTTATAATTATGGTGTATGCACCAGGCTCATCTCATAAGAAATATATAAACTATGCTAGGATAAACTAAGTAAGGTTAACTAGTTCTCATAAAGCAGCAATTCATAGCATGGAAAGGCCACAGTTTCTAGCACAAAAGCCATGCATAACTGTGTCCTTTCCATCATCACCCAGACTTACTCCGTACAGTGGGACTGAAATTGGCTCTAAGCCTACCAACTGAATTATACTTCGAGAACGCAGTAACTTCACTTCTTAACTCAAAAGACAATAACTGTTCAGATCTCTAGAAGATGTTATATCCGGCTGGTATATCATACAAAGAATAAAATCCACCTGGGATCCCTCACCATCCTTATCGCCCTAGAAAATATGATCCTAGTGCTTGGGGCAGGTCAAATCGAACTTGGCCTTACGGTCCGAGGTAAAAGCACCCCAGTGCTTTTCGTCCTGCATCTCACCGCTGTCGCCCTTGGTGTCGGGCTTCCAGGACTCGTCAAAGGCCTCAAAGTAGAAGACATCAACACCCCATGCGAGAATGCCACAAACGGCCGACTTGTAGTAATCAGCAGCATTCTCAGTGCTGGCGACGGCCGGTCCGTAGTTGGATCCACCAGCTGTTAAGGCGTCAGATTCAATATCCACATGAACCCATATAATTCAAGAAATGCAAGAAATGCAACACTTACTTGTGGGCCATCCGGTCTCACCGTTGCCGAAGCGAATCTTGTCTGCATTAGAGCCGGCAACTTGCTCAATGTGGCCCAGAGCCTGAGCCATGTCATCAAAGTATGTGTTGGTGGCATTGCTCAGCTCCTGGCCCTGCCAGTAGGCGAAGCCGTTGGCCAAGCTATGTAAAAATCAGCCAAGTTCTTGAGACAGAGAAAAACGGCATGCGGGAACTTGGGACGCAAAATGAAGCTTACAAGTAAGTGACACCACCCTGAATGATGGGATCGGCCGTACCATCAGCGAATTTGTTCCAGCTGTCCACCATTCCGACGGTAACCTTGGGGAACTCCTTCTGGACCTGCTGGATTCTGGCGAGCAGAGCCTGAGGGGTGAGACTCTTTCTGTAGAGGACTTCAGAGCCGACGGTGATGGCGTCAATAACATCCTCGTTTCCAGGGACAGATGCTTTCAAGGCGTCGAAGTCCTCGGTGAAAGACTGATCGTAATCGGGCCTACCAGACGGGGAAATGTTAGCAACCTAGCCGCTTGACGTAAAGAGGATGTAATGTGGCGTGGTTCATACCAGACACCCAGGACGACTTTGAAGTTCTTCGCCTTAGCTGCAGGGATGATATTCTTCGCGGTGTCGCAGTCACTCGCGGAGTAGATGCGCACAAGAGTGGTCACTTCTTTCAACGTATCGAAATCGGTCTCATAGTCCGACTGGACTTTGCATTTGCCGTCTGCGTTTTTGTTGCCGAGGGCGAAACCCAAAGTTCCATTCTTAGAGGCGACAGCGGTACCGGCCGCAAGAGCGAGAGGGAGCAAGGTGCTGACACGCATTTTGGATGTATGTGCTGTTCAAAGGTGAAGAGGGAACGAAAGTGATGAGTCTAATTGATGTTATAAACACAAAACTGCTTCAATTTAAGCACGGGAATAGACGAAATCAATACCAGATAAAAAATAGCGACAGGAGTAAGGAGAGATCGGAAGGAGGGACAGTTAATGCAATAAATAATGGAATCAAAGACTGGCAACCGATCCTGTACGTCAGTCGATGAGAAGAGAATGTGGAGTAGTTGGAACTTGGAACGATCGAGAGAATGGTAATTCAACGGATAAAGGTCGCCTCCTGAAGGAACTGGAAGAGAATGAACGAACGAATGTTTGGTTTTGGCTCTCTTTGGCTCGGGGGCGCGGAGGAGAATTCGCCATCACCCAGTAAGGTAAGGCATCGATCAGCACCCCCAGGCAACGCACCTAGGTTCCCGTCTCAGGGCCAGCGTCCCCTAAGGTATGGAACAATCCAACTGTGCCACAGTCTGGTCGCCCAATCCGAGATCTTAGTTTGGTTGAGTGACCCACGCGCGGTACCTGGTTTAACGATATTGGGGCAAAACGCTTCGGCGATCCCTTATCACCCTTGACTGCTTCTGCCTTCCGGGCTCATTGGGTGAAACCTCCACAGGGGTCTCTGGTTCCCCAAGTGGTTTAGTGGGTGAGAGTGGCCTGGACCCTGTCTCTCACACAGTCTTACTCAAGGAAAATCCTCTACGAAGTCATAGTTTGGACCAGACCTACAAATATGACAAACGGCGTACAAGCATTTCTGCAACTCAGTTCTAAACTTCTTTTCCGAAAATTATCCACAACATAATCACTGCCACCTACTGTTTCTGCCGCGGCTTGGATAAGGCCCTCGAAAAGAAACCGGCTCCACGTGACACCTTACGTGACACCTTACGTGATCCAAGCCAGCTAATAATATACCGGCAGAGGGAGAGTCAATGATGTCACACACTTTGAACAACGCGCATACATTATTGAAGGAACCCTGGATGTCCGATTGATGGAAGAACCAGAAACAAACAACCAGCCAAGTCCCCGACAATGACTTGTCCTCACTTTTGAAGTTGCCATCCCACCGAGTGTACCGGTCTGGCCTTGGGTCTTATCCGATCCTGGTTGCCATCGGAGCGAGAACTTTCCATCCGATGGACGTTGGAACTGCACAAACTTAGACACTTCGCCTCTCTACCACCACCCTCCACCCGCAAGCTTACCCTTGGTAGTTCTCGAGAACTGACTTTGCCTGTTCAGGGGTGATTTTACGACCGGTCATGCCATTGAATCTTGTACTGATGGCCTGCCACTGGTCCCTTTTCCATTGAGCAGCAATTTCACGAAGTAGCGTCACATCCTCCAGGGTGCAGACCTGGTCGATGTCCTGGTGACGGAGGTCATCGTACTCTCCTTCGTATTCAATCTCTTCGAACTGCAGCACAGTCTGTCAGCTGTCTTGCCAATCATGGAAACAGTTGAGTGAGATCTTTGGGAGTCCTACTTCGCCATCTGTGACCAGATGGTCTGGGCTAGTTAATTCACTATCATGCGGCAGATTGCTCGCATACCAGAAAGTTCTGCGGTCCGCTTCTCTAATACTCTGAAGACTGTCTCCGCGAATCCGATTCAACTGGTCTTTCAGTTCTTCAATGAAGCAGTCGCTCAATGCGTTGGGAAAATGTTTCCTCGGAACCCCACGAGTTTCAAGCTGATGAAGTACCCTACCATCGTCTCTATTCCATTTTGACGCATCGTTGTTGCCTTTGTGCGATCAGCCCATCATTTTCTCACCGTTTAGATCCTCGAACTGTGTTTACCCGACGCGCTCCTCATAATATCCGTCCATAAAGCTTCAGTCTCGGTTTCAGTGTGCCAAAGGCTCGTGTTGTGCTTTGCAGCAACCCTAGCTCGCTGCAAAACATCAGACTCTTTGTAATTTAGCATCGTTTGATGGGTATTGCTGCTACCCTATGCGCATCAGTAGCCAGCAGGTCTTTGCACAGCGTCCTAGGTCTGAAGATGGAGGTCAGAGGAACCCGATAACGAATGCCGTCGACGACATAGACCGGCATCTCATTAGTTCTCAATTTTGCTCAGAATTAAAAGAAGCTGTAGCAAATATAATACCTAGCAGCATCAACACCTGATATTTACAGGAACACATGAGTGTATGGACGTTTTGTTGGTCTCGAGAATTGGCATACTATGTGCATTTTCTAAAAGGCAAGCACTGGTCAAAGCCGGGAGGAAGGCATGAGCAAATTCTGCCTTCAGAAGGAGCTTGGCCGTTGGTCCTTGTCTGCTGTGTACAAGGAGGTAAGTCCTTCATTTGTAGCAAGAAAGTTAATAGCTCCTTCATGGCTCAAGGAGACGTCCTCCTGGATCCAAACAATGCTCGATATATACAATCTGGATGGTCATCTTCCGGAGGGAAGGGAACAGTCAGCGTGCATCACGTTCTTGATGGTAGGAAAAGGCTGATCTGAATGGCAAGCTTTCAGTTGACTTGGACTGCGAATCAAAATCTTTCCATTAGATAGACCATTGAATGAGCTAGGTGCGGTCCGCGGAGCCATCCATCTACGAGTACTGAGGCGGTTTGCTTAGAGGTGGTCCGAGCGTCTCGAATTTCCAACTCCGACACAGAGAGAGAACACCTTGCGCGTCGGAGATCATCGAGCAGGCCGAGCATCACCACTTCCCTTCCAACCTCCTCTCCACGACCACATTAGAGCTTCGTCTTCTGCATGCAAGCGAAGTCATACACAAAATGCGATTCTCCACAACAACCCTTCTGATCTCCGCCCTTGGGTGGATCACAGCCGTGGCTGGACACAACATCCAGCTCAAGGCGCACTCGAGAGAATGCTTCCACGAGACATTGCACAAGGAAGATAAGATGACCGTTACCTTCCAGGTCGGTGACAGGGAATTTGGTGGCAGCGGGAACCTTGAGATTGATTTCTGGGTAGGTCCCCTGAAACTCAAGCTTTTGCTGGATCACTTATTTTGATTGTCGGATCGGTCACGAGGCAATCGGTTGATGGACGGGATTTATAAGTTACTAATCCGATTTTTCTGCTGGTTTACAGGTTGAGGACCCCCTAAAGAACCGCCAGTACTTCAGACAAGCCATCTCATCGGAGGACTACTCGTTCACCGCGCACACCGACGGAAAGTTCGTGTACTGCTTCAGCAACGAGGGTTGGACTTCGAACTCGAAGGAAGTGGCCTTCAACGTTCACGGAATCGTCTACGTGCCGGAACATGAATTGGCCCAAGATCCCCTGGAGGCGGAAGGTATGAGCATTGCGTATGGACGTTGGACATGGGCTGTGCGGTGGCAGCTAACGGCTTCTTTGTGCAGTGCGTAAACTCTCGGAGGCTCTGGCTCAGGTGAAGGATGAACAGTCGTACATTGTCGTTAGAGAGCGGGTGCATCGAAACACCGCGGAGAGCACAAACGCCCGAGTGAAGTGGTGGAGCATTTTCCAGCTTGCCGTGCTCATTGGTGAGGGTATCTTCCAGGTCTGGTGGCTGAAGAGATTCTTCGAGGTGGGTGTGACGATACCAAAACGGGCTTATCGACAGTTGGGCTGACATCAAATGTTCTAGGTTAAGCGTGTTGTCTGATTATATCCACAGACGAAGTATTGGATTTATATCGTGGGTGATGATTGGTGTCTTCGATTGCATTTACGGTCTGAGAGTTTGACCTTTTAGCATCCCTGCAATAAGACTAGTTCTTTTGAATGAGCGTGATGAAAATATCCTGTTTGCCTGAATAATATCTACACCAATATTATCTCCGGCATCTCTGTTCGTATAAACTAGAGGTCAAAAGTACCTACCTGATTAGCCGACCACGGCATGCAGGGTTATCAGCCCTGCATCCACCAGCAGGGACCCAAACATCCAGAACATTGAGCTCCCAAGCCCAATACAGCAACTGATCACATTCTGAATCTAGGGAGAGCTAGAGTCTTACGTACAACATCGTCCCTCATCCAGGGTACCCTAAATCTCCAATGGCCTCCATTCTAGCCCTCCATCCAAGCATAGAACCAAACGCAACCGGTAATGAAAGCGAAAACGAAACCGTACGGCGTTTCAGCGACGATCCCCTTTTCGATATATGCTGGGGGCGACAAGCGTGCGGGGCGTGTCTGAAAGGCGATGCCCCTTGTAGCTGGTGCCCAGTGGTACGTATCAGCTCGCCGCATCCGATTGGCGCAAGCAGACGCGAAACGCGACAAATGCTAACCGGCATAGACGTCAACGTGCGTCCCGAACCGATCGCGTGTGCCTATATTAGCACCCTTCGGCTCGTCGACTATCTGTCCTCTTGGTTCAGAAGAGAGATGGGAGCTGCGGGCCTTGCCGTTCGGGTGCCATGTTAGCACGATTACTTTTTTGACGGCTTGCGTGGCGGTGCTTGGGACGTTGGCGCTTGTTGGATTGGGGGTTTTGCTTGGGCGGCTCTGGGATTGTGGAAAGGGGGCTTGGGGGTGTGGAGGGGGTCGGTTTACGGGGTGTGTCCGACAGAAGCTACGGCGTTGGTGGACTCGTCGTAGGAGGTCTGGGTTTGGAGATGTAGAAGAGGATGATTACCAACATCATCAGGCTGAGGCCGAACCTTTACTGCGTTGAGTGATGCGGCGTTTAAACGGAAATCTTGCCCGAGAGGTCGATCTTCGAGCTAGGTATATTCGAATATATAACCCTTTGACCAAAGTCGCTCTAACCCTTGACAACCTGGCTGACCTTGTATTCGACAACAATGGGCTTACCCTTCTCGACTCTGAATCGGCCCTGCCCGACGAACACTCTGTTCTCGAACTCCTTGTAGCGCTCATCACCGGTCTGCAGTTCTGTGAGCATGCAGAGAGGTAAATATACCCGCGATGAGGTCTCACCTCGAAGGTAAAGTGAGTAAAGGAGTTTCCAAACGGCGTCGCGCCGTCCTCTGCGGTGCCAGAGAAAACAGCCGCTTCCGCGGGCCCCATCGTAACGACGCCGGTGTAGTTCATGTAGAGTAACTGTTAGTTGAACCGTCAGCTTGTAACCCTCAGTCTTCGCTAATGATATCGTGACGCACAGCATCATCCTTGGTCCTGCGCATGTCCAGTTAGCATCATTCTCCGCTCTCGTGCTCTCAGTCCCAGAATCCCCGATGACGACTAACTTGATGACTCCGTGAGCATTCAAGCGCAAGTGCTTGTTGTCTGGGTCCGCATGGATGTAATCGTTGCCGGTACCGACGAACTCGGCATCGAGGGCAAGGGAGTAACCGGGATCACTCTTTACAGTGCCACCGGTCATAGGCTTTGATCAATGTAATGTCTGTTAGCGACGAATGCTGTCAATGATTCAGCTTGGTGGCGAGCTTACCACGACCTGCAGGCTGTTGGAACGAGAGGCACTGCCTTGAACGAGGTTAGAAAAGTACTGACAGTATTTCCTTTCGATTGGAAGCTTACCAACGGCAAACCCAGGGTCAATTGTGACCTATACCGAGCATAGTGGTTAGCCGTCGAGAACAGCGCCATGCTAATTATCGCTTGTTACTCGCCTGAACTGTGAAGGCAGGCTGGAGAGAAGGAAACTCAGCCATGGCGATACAGTGTGGCCGAAATAGATAGGATGTTGCAAACAAGATAGAGGTCAAGGAAAGACAGTGCTCTTCTCAAGTTGACATGCACAAACAGAACGTAGGATAACTGAGGGGATGCTCAGTCTACCATTTCTAATCAACTACAACCACAAGGTGCCCCGCACTCCCGATAAGGAAATAATTGCAGATCCGATTCTCGGCCATCCCTACGTAACTCCATAGCTTGTGTAGCTTAACCGGCCCACGACGTAGCTTAGCCAGTTTGGCAGGATGGCTCAAATTGTTGGCTTTGATTGCAGACGAGAACTGGCACATCAGAGGCGAGGTCGACTCTAAAGTACTGTAGCAATTGCAATGTTTCTGGTACCTCGTATGGCTCTACATGCATAACCCATACTGTGACGATTACTCTATAAATATGCTTAAGCGGATTTACCGCAACCCTCGGAGAAGACGCAGTGAAAATAGTATCCAGAACCGTGAGACGAATAGAGTGATCATCCGCTTTCTAAGGATATCGACGTGCGACCTCTAGTTTGCGCGGACTGTAGTCAGATGGATACCTTACTCATCAAGAATGCCACTGCAACTCGCAAGGTCCTTTTCAACCCTTTCGCTGACCAAACAGTCCCTGGCAGTAGCCCACGTGGGGACGCCAATAGGCAGAGACTAAAGTGTCCTTACAATCACGAGATAATGCGTCTCAGAGGTCGCGTGTCATGGCGGGGGCGTAGATCTACCAAAAAGAAAATCACCCTTGTCTTATTATTGAGGAGGTTATCCTCGCCTTCAAAAGACTCACATTGTCAATGTCTCAATATAAGCAGACTGCTTTACGACGAAAGGCTGAGGAAGAAGTGAAACCAACGAAAACAGTGGAATGGAAACCTTTCCCGATTGGATGATTAGCTGTTGGTGCCACTGGGACTGATCGGCTGCAATTGTTCATCATCAGTGACGTTGGTGGACGGGTACGTGGGCTACATTGATTTCCTACTCTTTCCACTAATCTTGAGAGCCTGCATGATCAATGTTTCGAGTTCTTTCTGACAGGTGATTAAAAATCGATCCCCGCGTCGTCGGGACGTCTTCCCCAGCACAGGGCGGAAAAAAAAGTACCAATCCAATGGTCCCCTATCTTTTTCTGCAGGGTATCCTGGTTGCCAGTGTGACGGCCTTGCCCGTTTCGGAGCAACAACCTCTCGGGCCTGCAGTGCCAGAATCGAACAGTCAACCCGATGGAGGAATTCAGCTGGAAAAGTCGCGAGTGCTTCATGGGCGTTTTCTCCATATAACAGGTGAGATACATTCAATTGGCTTAAGACTACGGGGTGTCCGAGGTGGAAGTTCGAAAACTCCGAATGAAAATACTGATTTTGTGTCTCTTTGTTCAGACCTGCACCCTGACCCTCATTACAAAACCGGAAGTTCTAGCGACGACGGCGCCCCGTGCCATCGAGGAAACGGTTCGGCAGGATACTTTGGAGCTGAAGGGTCGGACTGCGACTCGCCGTTCTCGCTGGTCAACGAAACTTTCAGCTGGATAGAGAAGAATCTGAAGGGCAATATCGACTTTGTCCTGTGGACTGGAGACTCTGCCCGTCATGACAACGATGCGAAGATTCCTCGAACAGAGGATGAGGTTGTTCGGTTGAATGAGATGCTGGCGGACAAGTTCGTCGATGCATTCGGAGACAAGCGACTCCCTAACGGCCTCTCTATCCCCATCGTTCCTACAATTGGGAACAACGACATCATGCCACACAATATATTCAGAGGCGGCCCAAATCGATGGACGAAAAGGTTCGAAAAGATCTGGAGCAAGTTTATACCAGAGCATGAGCTCCATACATTCGTGGAGGGCGGCTGGTTCACGAGCGAGGTCATCCCAAACAAACTGACGGCCATCAGCCTGAATACGATGTACTTTTTCGACTCCAATTCTGCCGTCGACGGGTGTGCAGCCAAATCTCAACCGGGATACGAGCATATGGAATGGCTACGGGTGCAGCTTAAATTGCTACGCGAACGCGGAATGAAAGCCATCCTTATCGGACATGTACCTCCAGCCCGAACAGACAGCAAACGGAATTGGGACGAGTCGTGCTGGCAGAAATATGCTCTGTGGGTGCATCAATATCGGGACGTGATTGTCGGCAGTGTCTACGGTCATATGAACATCGACCATTTCATCCTCCAAGACCACCACAAAGTCAACATTGTCGATGCCGACCCGAATGAGTCACCTTCGGAAGCTTCGAAAGATGCTACCGGCGACATTTCCATTCGGTCTCGGTCAGGGTACCTTAGCGATCTCAGGCATGACTGGTCCAAGTTGCCGTCACCCCCGCCAGATTTTCCGATGGACAACGGTACGGTTGACGACTGGTTCGGAGAGGGAGCGTCATTCGGAGACGACGATGATATCCGGTTCAGGAAATCCAAGAAAAAAAGGCGACAGTTTCTGAAAAAGATCGGCGGACCTTGGGCTGAGCGATACAGCGTATCGCTGGTGTCACCCAGTCTAGTTCCAAATTATTTCCCTACTTTGCGCATTGTCGAGTATAACATAACCGGACTCGAAAATGTAAAGGCTTGGGGCGAAACTCCTGTTGCTGCTGATACCCTACCTTCGTTGACGGACGAAGCCAAGGAACGTCGGTCATATTCTGAGTCAATCGAAGACCCAGATATGGATGAGTTGAAGAAAGGAAAGAAGAAGAAGGACAAGAAAAAGGAGAAGAAGAAGAAGAAGCCGTCCTTCAAAGTTCCAGAACCTCCTTCCCCCACCGCCCCGCCAGGGCCTGCATATTCGAATCAGCCATTGACATGGCTTGGTTATACTCAATACTTTGCGAATCTTACGAAGATCAATAATGAATATTCTGAACGATATGGTCTCTCGCCTGACAGTGTGGTCAACGAGACGAGAGGCAAAGATCTCTTTACTTTTGAAGTCGAATACGACACTACGAAGGATGACATTTACAAGTTGGAAGATCTCACTGTGCGCAGTTACTTCAAATTGGCCAGTCGAGTCGCACAGAAAGCCACCGCAAAGGACCAGATATCGGAAACGGGAGCTACCGATGACCTGCATGCTGCTATTGAGAACGATGGTGACGAGTCAGGAGATATGAAGGACGCAAAGGGCAAGAAGATCAGAAATCGAGTATGGAAAACATTTCTGAAACGGGCATTTGTGGGATACTACAGGAGCGATGAGATTGATATTGATGGGACGTAGCTGATGGCTACGTATTCGCATGAGGGTTGTATAATAGTCCACGATCATATCCTTCTTTGACTATTGGAGTTACTGGGGTTCGAATGAGCTTGTCGGCGTCACTCTGGGTATACGACTTGAGGGTATATTAGTAGAGGGCGACTTGGATTGAAGGCACTTCTTAATCTGAATCATAAAGCATTTATTATCACCAATTCCCATATTCCGCTATCCAGATCTGACATCATACTGGCGGTGAAGATGGAAACTGCGCGGGATACTCCGTAGAGGGGTATTCGTCGTGACCGATAGCGACGATGTCACTTCATACTGTGAGTTAAACAAAATTAGACACAAAGCAAAGATCTGAAAGTCATAAATTCTAATGAGAGTACGTAAATTTGATGGCTGTACGGAGTACTCAAGTAGATGGCACCTGTCAGGCGCAACATAGACAATGCAGCGGTCAGTAAAGCGGTATATATCTGCCGGATACTGATGGACAATAAGACTGGTGTCGTGAGATGTCAGACCTTCCAAGCCATCAATAATGATGAAAGCATCACTTTCCTCGATGTTCGGATCATCTATTGGCATGATTATCATCCTGTCGTATCTACGAAAGACGACGGGATATTATGCATCAGCCGCATATTTTCATTGATAGTATCTGAGTCTAATGCTTCGATGCCACGCTGGCAAGCGCCTTGCCAGCTGTCACGTCGTTGGAAGTCGGTCTACCCATGACAATGCCATCATACCCGTGCTACCAAGAAGCGCGGGGGCTGAGACTCCAGCACCACACCGTAGAGTCTTAGGCCGCATTTTTAGTACCAGAAGCCGGCTTTCCAAGCGAGACAGAATTAGGCGGAAACTTCAAGTTCATCAACCCTCGGCCATCTTCATCGTTGAATTTCAACCAGAGAGGATGCTTTGGTCATTCTCAAAACCCAAAGAGACGGGAGGCTTGGTGGCAGCGAGATCCACCGGGTTTGTCGCAGTGTCCCTATCATATCATCCCGCTGGAATTAGAAGCTGCAAGTCAAGGAAAATCAGCAGTCGGGCTCTGACACGTATCGAGCTAATGGACACGCCGCCCCTCTTGCCGCATGGCTAGCAACTAGCAAGCCTAAGATTTTGCAACTTTGGGCTTTGCAGTCGCTGCCATTATTGCCAACAGCCACTGTAAAAATCATAGTTGCCACCTTTTGCACCATGTTGCTCATCCGCTTCACTGGTCGCGAAGTCAAGTGGTGATCATGACGGGATACTGATTCTACCATTTCTTTCCTCTCTAAGCTCCAGTCGTCGTCGGAGAATAAAAGCAATTTGGTGACGGACTGGATCCATGTTCGGACCGCGACGTGAATTTCTTTTCCGGCGAGGAGATTGCTACTATTCATGCCACTTTAATTAGCACTACTTCGTCACAGTGGGCTGCTGTCGCTCGCTGCTGTCCAGGCGTCCAGGTGCATTGCAGACGCGAAGCCTCTTTCCCTTGCTTCATTCTCTCTATAGTACTTCAATCCCAAGTGCTTGTATTGATTCAGAAGCCGGATATACTCCTCGACCCTAAGGACGAAACTTACGCACTGATCCTTGGTATCGGGTTACGAGAAATCAACCCGAGCACTTGATATCTTCGAGTTCGATTGATTGTCAGCAATTGACTGGCAAAAGTATAGGTCAACGGACTGACCACGTCCAAAGACGCGCGCGATGCATCGGAACGCCCTTCAGTTCTGCGACCACGAGCTCATTACCCTTCACCTCGCTGCTCTCGACCGCTGCTCTGTTCGTGCCTTGCTTTGTTAGCTCAGTTTACTGCGACGACTCTTACTCTTCCGTGGCATCGAATCTCGATCCATTACGCCTTGCGGAGGAGGGTGAACATTCGACGAAACAGTTCATCGCCCTGCTTTAATAAAATCCTCGAGTTTGACTTATTGCTGATCCTCAGTGGTTTTGTATAACAGAAGCTTGCGTCTAATATTCTTGTGGGAGGCTCTATTGTCCTTTGCATGTCATTGACTCGTTGTCCGGCCGGGAATCGCAAAGCGCAAACAGGTCGATTCCATCAATCTGCATAACACTGGTCATTTTTTTCTGCCTAATCCGGAGTAACCCGCATGAGACAGGGCACAAACGCAGACCACTGAACTCAATTGAAGGAATAGCATACGAAAAGTGCTTTGAATCTGTATTCTAAGCGCTAGCATCAGCCAAGCCAAAACGCTCGGAATTGGCGCTTGTTCCAGGTTGTTGAAGGGAACGGCGTTTGACTGATCCATTCTCTGTTTGCGCGCGCTTCCAAGGTAAGCTCTCCCAACTCAATGCTGCCCATCTTTCTGTGCTTTTACCATGAACGAAAGCCCAAATGCAACTGTGTCTCAATATTCAATGACCAAGTTATTTGGTCCTCACCGACTTTGAATATTGCCAAAATACTATCGGATTCTCAGTCCCCAAGCTCGCAATGGATATGGCTGACTCCTACGAGGACTTTTTACTGATAGATTCAGAGTTTGTGGCACTGTGGATGGCTTCTTCCGAAGTTGACCAGAAGGCTCTGGGCAACTTCGCTGCCATCACAAGCCTCGAGAATCCTTTTTTGTCCGCTATGTTATACAGAGTCTTGGGCTTGTCGGTAATGCTGTCCAAGAAACTCCTTCGTGCACGAAGATTGCGGCGTCTGGATCCCACCCGGGAGACAAAGTCGCTTCAACTGTATCACCACATCATCTGGCTTTCCCGGGAGGGTCTATTGATTTTGGAGGAATTCGTCCTTCCCATGGTCGAGCCCTACGTGGAGTTGAAAATCCTCGCATACAAACTCAGAGCCTCTTTTTATCATATCTTTGTTCTCTTCCACAACGAGCCGCCAGTCAATTCTCCCGGTCTTATGAGCCTTCGAAGTCACTCTTCAGCGACTAACAATGCTGCTGAAGCAGAGTCGTCCCCCAAGGACCAGGGGTCAAGGTTCTCATTTATTTCTAAACCAGAAGTGATCCCCCTTCCTCAGGATGCGGCCTCGAATCGAAAGGACGCTGCGAGACGAAAGGTCACGCAAGCTCCTCCTGGCTTAGCCCCGGTACAGCCTCCCAAACCTGCTTCATCATTCCTTCTTCCCTCTATGGATTATACCCCAACTGCAACGGCATGCTTCAACCATGCCGCTCTCCTTGCTGAACGGTTTCTGCCCGGATCGCATCCCCTACGCCTGTCGATCAAGCTCGAATATGCTGCCTACCTTTACGATTGTCTTCACGACCCGAATGCTTGTCGACGATTGGCGAAGCAAACTATAGCAGATGTCTACAATGCGCAGGAAGGCATGGACGATGAGAGCTTTGAGGACGCCGCCGAGATAGTTCGGATCCTGGGAAAGATGGTAAAGCGCGCCGGCAAGCATAGCAGCACTGGACCTAGCAGCACGTCGGCTGGAACGCCAAGAGGGGATATTTCGATGAGTGAGGGCAGCCTGACCCCGAAGGTACGAAAATCCGTGTCACAGGCGACAACAATGACTTCAGTCTCGCCAGCTCCGGCAAATAAGTCCCCGGTCAAGAGCGATACGCCCTCTACTGCAGTTCCAAATCCCAGTATGATGAATCCTATTTGACCTTGGCGCCTTGACCAAACGATACGGCGAATTCTACTTGCGGACGCCACAGTGAGTTCGCTCGGATGGTTCATGATGATTCTGTGTTTTCGGCTACGGAACCATGGGGTGAGTTCTGTTGCACTTCAAGGTGCGCTGGCCCTTGTGTCTCTTTTTTCAGCGGGTTTTCCGTTCTCGCCCATCTTTCTTTGACCCGGCGGGCCTGTCGATGTTTATATAATTGGTTATATCATGTTTTTCCACCGCCGATTGTACTTATAGTGATTGGATCGGAATGATTATGTCTATGTACATTTTGATACCGTTAAGCCTGAATGGCTGCTTTCAACAATTTGTCTATCTAGATTTCAACAAATTAGAGTAAGCTCCCATGGATCCACGGTGGTAAACGTTGTCAGGCACCTGAGATGTATGACGGTGACATCCGTTGGTGCCTGAGGCAACCGCTAGACCTGCCCAGCCGCAAAAATTCTCCTCCCCGTGCAGAGGGAGTCTAAACGAGTCAAGTTTCCCCCAAAAGACGGCAGAACGTGTGCACCAAAAATAAAAATACCCTTCCGCTCCTGCATGCACGTCTTTGTGGCTTTGAACTCTTAAACTACTTCTCAAGCGTTGATTGACCGACTGACACCAACACACTTGTCTTGTGATCCAACCAGGGGTCTTCGCTTGAGCCACGCGTCCTCATCGACTTGGCAACCACCAACCCTCCGTTTAACCTCCCTTTACGTTGCAACGAGTCGTCCTTTACGTCATCCATACAGTGAAATTCCTTGCCGTTCCAGTCGCATTGGGCGAGGGTTGCAACAGTAGACAGCTAATCAGATAGGCTGTCTAATTTCTACAGAGTACTCTATTATTTTATGCTTCGCTCTCCCCGCCGTCGTGCATTGACCTCAGTGCTTTCGTTGCCGGGGCTTGGATACGCAGACACAGACATCTATCTCCCTCTCCCACACCACCTTAGCAAACACCGCCCGTTCCGCCGATCAGCCAACACCAACGAACCAACATAGTAACGGAGCAAGAGAGTGTGAGACAAACAGATCTACAATTCCACAAGGCTGCGATTGCGCATTCATGCATAGCCCGCTCGCAACTTTGAATTACAATTAGACCACCCCTCTTCTCGCACCTCTTTTTTGGCGATGAATTTGCTTGTCCCGGAAATCTTATCAGCCAAGCAAAAGAATCTCAACAACCGAGAGGACTCGCCCTCATTAGTGCTGGCTCGTGTGCAACGTTCATGAGTTGTCTAAGATGCGGTCGGGGATTCAGAAACCCGGTGCAATCCCGTTCTTCGCGCTCATCTTCTTCTCGATACTCAGCCTGGTGCCGTCTCTAGCTAAAGAGTGGGGTTTCTACAATCTGCACATCGGATATCTAGCTTATAGTCGCTATGAGGATTGGCGTATGTGACTTGATTCTCTATGCTTCTTGTGTGAACCTGCTGACAGCCTGGGAATACAGATCTCCCCCGAGTAAAAGATGGCGCGATCGAAGTCCGACCGAGGGCAAGCTCGAACGGGGCTCTGTGCAAGTCATGGCTCGCCGGGGGCTCCTTTCAATCCTGTCCCGACCGCAAAGGACGTCCGCGACGTAGTGCATTGGATGCGCCATCTCTCAGCGCATTCGAGGCGGCCTCTGGCTTCGACAGCGATCCCATAACGCAAACGGCGACGCGGTCGTCGAGTCTCACAAGAGGCGTGCACGCTTTCAAAACATTCTTCATCAAACAACTGGACGACTACCAGATCTTGCAACCATTCTCACCTGGGAGCGCGCCGTCCGTGCCGACGGCCACTTCTCGTCCCGTTCCACCTTCAGTTAATTTGTCCGTTGCGCCAGTCCCCTTCATCGGCGAGGAAATCCAACACTGGTATCGTATCACCAATCAGACAACATCAGCCACGAAGCACATTCTGGAAAGTTCTCGGATACGATTCCTCTCGGGTTGCCACAACGCATGGCAGCAGGCCTGTCTTGTGGCTACGGGTTTCCTGAAAATCTTGCCTTCGACGTTAGCTACTCAGCCTCTTTCCTCCAATTCCTCAGACTCGGGATTTCCGCTGCAAGTACCTGGCCAGGAGCCAGTGCGGAAGTCAATCCCGCAACCCCTTCCTACGGATGCACTCGCTGCGCCAACAAAACCGATCACCCAAGCTGTGCCGGCTGCGGGTCAGTCCGAGGTAGCAGCGGTAGACGACAGCCCTAAGAAAATGCGCGGTAGCTGTATGGCTATTGTGATTGGCCTGGTTGTCGGGGTAATGTGGTTCTAGCGGGCTTTTATTCTCTAGACTCGCCACGTGGACCTCGACTCAGTCGTCTGGTTTGGCAGGCTCCTATATTCGCCATGTTCATGTTTGATGTTTATATACAAAGCCCCTGGCAAGGTCTTGTTCTTTGCTTATAATCTGTCGAATGTCAGCCCTGCTCCTCCGTTGATCGTCAATGGGGCTGGTTTTTGCTTCTCTGCAGTGATATTGACGCGACGCCTCGTCTCTGATACGATTGTACATGCTTTGCTACGAAGTTCGTCTGGCTTGATACGGGGACTCTGGCTTAGTCCTCTTGGGTTCTGACGCTGATGAGGAATACTCGAGAATTGGCAGTGTACATTAGAGTACCATATACAATACAATAATGTCTGTTAATGCAACAAGGTGCTTACTCGTAGGAACGCCTGAAGATTGTTGTTAATGAGATCAGCGCAATGTGGTCTTGGTATAATAGACTAGTGATACTGCGGAAAGTTGACACCTCAATTCCAGTTGACGACGCACGGACCAACATCCTTCGATCCGCCTCCGCGATTGGGATTCATCATGGTTGATGCGTTGGAATGCTCGTGGATCTATCAAATCTGGAGATGAAATCCTTTCATTCCGTATTGACCGTTCTATCAATTTTTTTCTCTTTTCTACATGTGCGTCAGTTTGGGAAATTGGACGATTGGTTTGATCGACTTTGGAATCAGTGAGCAAGGGATATCCGCCAAGGTCGGAAAGGCGGCGTGTGTCTCGGTCTCTTGCCTATCCAGATGATTTGGACCACGATTGATGACAGGTAAGTTGGTATTGATTCTTGGAATATAGTGGATGGGAGACAGATTGTTTGTAGCGCTTTCATCCAATGTTCTGGATGGCAAACGCGATGCGATGTTGCAATGTTGACGTGATCAAGTGTTGTTGACATTACAAGCTAACAGTCACAAAGGATCAATTGCATGAGATTGGACGGTCACTATCATTTGCTTTTTGCTAGACCGGAGACGAGGGAGTAGACTGATTCCGAAAATGTCGACCAAGAAGCCAAGAGACCGGACCAGCCCTTGCTGCGTCTGCAGGTTGAAAAGGCGAGGATGCGATCGGCAACGACCAGGTATTAACTCATTCAAACCCTTCCTTTGCGATAGAAGCTGACAGATACAGTATGTGGACAATGCCGTGAGCTAGGCCTGTCGGATGAATGCTCCTACCGACCGGAGGACATGCCTCCTCCGCATGGTTCATCACGGTATGCACGCCTTCGCTCAATGCATGTCCATGACCCACAGGCACAGGACCTAACAGGCAGAAGCAGGTCGCTACTTCCGCAGCAACTGAAGCGGCTGAGGTCACTGCCCTCCCAGTCACTATCTGCGCCTTTGGTGGTCATCCGGTCCGCTGCACCGCCCAGCTCTACCTGGAATGGGAGGGAGTCGTCGCCAAGGCGCACGCTGCAGAGTTCACGAGAGGCTGGGTCCAGGCTGCGGTATACCCTCGACCTCTTTTCGCATCGGCGAACGCAGTCTGGATCTGCCATGTACCCTGCCCGAGGTAATTTGCAAGCGCGCGGGCAGATTGATTTCGACGAGGATTCTGTTGGTGAGTCCGAGGAAAAGAGCGATGCGATTGAGGTTTTGTCGAGTCAATCGGATGAGTCGTTTCATACTGCCACGCGATCACCGGTGCCTGAGCTTATTTGGGATGAGAGTCGCGGTGCTCAGGGATCGCATTTTGCGAGGATACGACAGGCCCAGGAGAGACGGACGGGGAGTGTCAAGCGGGAAGAGGAACAGCCGATTGAGGATCGTCTGCCAAGATTACAACACTCGAATCTTGCCGGTAGGACGTTTATCTCGGCTTTGGACGAAGTAGACGAGATGATGGATTCTCCCGTTGATTTGTCCAAGGAGGATGCAGATCGACTGGTGAACGTCTACTTGAATCTGGATTATGTGTCGCTGCCGATCTTGGATATACAGGACTTTCGCGCAGCGTATGAAGCAGCTAGTGTTGCTGGAGACTCTACCACGCCGGACGCATTTTATGCCATTCTGAACACGATCTTTGCCCTCGCGTGTCTCAGTGTAGACGACATGGGCGACGAAAGGGCGAGATACTTCTTCAAAGAGGGCCAGAGGCTGGCCAACCTGTTCGATCAATACAAATCTATTGATCTTCTTCGATTATACCTCCTACAGATTCAATATCTCAACGCCATAGGTGATCTACATACGGCTTGGGCTATGATCGGATCTACAATACGACTCGCGCAGTCACTGCGTCTGCCTTTCGACGCCAAGCAACACGGGCACAGCAGAAAAGGCCGAGAGACTTGCCGGAGGCTCTGGCATGGCGCGATGATAATGGAACGGATTCTTGCGCTGCGGCTCGGCATCGCGCCCCAAACACCCGATCCGCTGCGGGTTCCTCTGCCCACGCACTTGGATACCGACTATGTTGATGTGATTTCGAGGGCACAGTCGAGCGCACCGTCGAACTCGCAAGGTGAGCGTGCATCGATAATCGAGTTCTTCACCGCCTGCGCAAGGCTGTACAGGCTTGTCGAGGAGGTAATGGCGTGGGAGGAAGAAGCAAGGATTCGGCCTCACGGCTGTGCCATGAAGAAATTACTGTCGCTGGATTTTACGCGGTTCTTGAAAGCGGATAGCCTCTTACATGATTGGAATCTGTCACTGCCCTCGTCTCTGCGGAGCAGTGGGGTGCATGGCACAGATGAACACTCCATCGTCGTCCGACAGCGGAATATTCTCCGGGCTCGATACTTGTATATTCGGCTTCGGCTGAACCGGCCGTTGGTTACTCTAGGGCTAGCGCTGACCACCGCGTGCAAGTGCAAGTCGGATGGGCAGCCTCACATTGTGGAAAGAAGGCTCGCCCCAGACTCCCCCATCGCGCTGAGCCTAGTCCATGGGGCTTCTATCAAGTGCGTCCGAGCTGCGCTTGAATTGACGGAGCTCATTCGCGTGCATGAGGCTGGATTGCTTCGACTTGATACACCATACGACGCAAGCCACTGTCTCATCCCACCCTACTGGGAGTCTGTGGACTATCTTTACGTCTGCGGTACAGTCTTCCTTGCTAGCTTCAACCACCAATGTCCTTTCTTCGGAGATATGACCGACGAAGAAGACGAGCAATGTAGAGTCCTCTGGCCCTGCATCATAGACCTTCTCGATCGCTACCAGGGATATCGTCGCCGCGGCCGAACGAACAATGTAGCCCAGGCGTGCAGTCGTACACTGAGCGAGCTTGCGAAAGCCGTCGAAGGCACAGATGGTACGGGTTGGATGGTCGATTCGGCGGTATTAGGGCAAGACGCGCGAGCAAGGTTCTTTCAGCGGACCGAGATGGAGTCGCCGATCCGACACAGACGAATATCAGGCGCGAGTCAGACGATTTTTGGGGCCGTCCCTGAGTTCCCGGTGTGGATGGATAGTTTACCAGTTGACCTGGTGGGATGATTTCTTGGCCTGAGCTATGCGATACCCATATGTGTATGATAAGACGGAATTGTCAGTAAACCCCAGAATCTATAAACTGAACATGATATTGAAGCTGTCTGGTGAACGGCATTCCTCACGGCCTCGGTAGTGATAGTATCGCGATACTCGGAGTCGTTCCGATGCTGAGTATCGTATCGTCAACATCTTTCAGCTCCCTTCAGTTACAGTCCACGCGCACTTCGTCTTGATTCTATGACTCATGCTTCAAATCCAAGCTACGATTAATATCAATCTAAAGAGTCTTAGAATCTACAGCATAGCACACAAACCCTCCCAGAGCAGATGCATGTCCGAGTCCGACCCTGGCATTCCCCCACGCCCCCAACATCGGCCCATAGACCGACCCCGCAAGTCAATTCAGTGTCGTAATCGGGACAATTCCCAGCGAGACCGCGGGGTGACAGTGCCCCTGTCAACCCCTCTCTCAGAATTCTTGTGCTATTTTTCACTTTTACCTTCCGTTTTATTTCCTTCCCTCTTCTCAATCATTTTCGGTTCATACAGAGGTACCAGAATAAAATCACAATGCAGGCAATGCAAGCAGCAAATCGACTCCAGCGGGCTCTCCGCACCGAGCGCGGACTGTCCTTTGGCGCGTGGCAGATGCTTCCTGGGGCGAACCATGCGCGGTTCATGGCTAGGACGGGGTATGATTGGATCTGTGTGGATACGGAGCATGGGAATATCGCTGGTAAGTACGGAGGATGCTGGGCTACGATTACAGTGATGGGTATGGCTGACAGTCGCAGATTGGCAGATGCATGAGGCTGTGGCTGCTATTGCTGCTACAGGGGTGAGTCCCATTGTGCGGATTGCTGCGAATGAGGGGTGGATGGTGAAGCGTGAGTTTATCTTTGATCCAGGGGTGACAGGATACATGGAGAAAAGCTAACGGTGGATAGGGGCCTTGGATGCGGGCGCGCATGGAATTGTCGTTCCTCTTCTGTATACCGCTGATGATGCGCGGAGGTTGGTGGAGTCTGCCAAGTTCCCGCCTGTTGGCCGGAGAGGCTTTGGCAGTCCCTTTGCCATGGGCTCCATTGGGGGTGTTTCGTCGGTGGACTACCTCCAGGGGGCCAACGATGCGCTGCTCACCATTGTGCAGATTGAGACTAAGGAGGCACTTGAGAATGTGAGTTGATCGGGAGTGGCTGCAGAAGTGATGACGATCTAATTGAGTTGATATAGGTAGAGGAAATTGCGAAGGTTCCCGGCATCGATGTCCTGTTCATCGGACCTTGGGATCTGGGCAACAACATCGGCCGTCCTGTCATGGGCGCATTCCATGAAGACCTCGAGGCTGCGATTGAGCGGATCCGCAAGGCTGCGGTCGATAATGGAAAAAGGGCCGGTATCTACTGCGTGGGTGGTGCGGCTGCAAAGAAGTACGCCGACCAGGGTTTCCACATGGTATGTAGCAGTCTCTCCCCTTTCCTGGTTGCCTCCCAGGTCGCTGATAAGCTTTGATGCAGATCTCCGTCGTCGCCGATGCTGTCGCTTTGCCCACGTTCCTTGCGGATGCCCTTGAAACTGCCAAGGGGAGCAAGACGGATGCCGCCGTTCCCACCTACTAGATCTAGCCATCCAATCCCCCACATGTATATTGTTTTGCAATTAGAGTGACGAATGCTATGATTGTCGTACATCTAACGAGGCTTCTGCCTCTATGACTTTTCGGCCTCCTCGACCAGATTCTCGACTTCCTGCTCGGTGAACCGGTGGAAAAGCTTCTTCGGGTCGGAGAGTTGATCTTTGACGGCAGGTTGAACATGCAGAACCGGAACATCGAATTCGTAGACGTCCTTCCAGGACTTATTCTCGGGGGCCATAATGTCCAATTCGGAGTAATCAAAGGGCCTCCGCTTGTGTAGCTGGGTCACGGCGTGCTTGGCGGTGTCACATAGCCCGCAACCGGCGCGGGTGAAGAGGGTGACGCGAGCTTTTGAGAAGAGGGCTCTCGTGGGGAACATGTTGCGTACCCTGGACCAGAAGGGATAATTCAATGAAGCTCGCTGTTGATGGTTAAGGTAGTGTCGGAGAAACAACGCGGTGGTCCCCCGTGGAACCTTCGAGCTTTAAAGGCTAAACCCGATCGGGACACAGCGAATGGAAACGGAGAAGCATCGCAGCAAGGTTCTGTATCATTCTATAGCATACTTGCGTGTTTTGATGCTCAGTTCTCTTGAAGGCGATTGATCTTCCTGTATATTTGTCCCAACTTCACCTATTGCAGAAACAGACCCGACAGCATGGCGTCCAAGTGTGTTCACAAAGGGTGCGGTAAAGAATTCACCGATCCGGAGGAGGATTGCTTGTACCATCCTGGTCCTCCCGTTTTCCACGAAGGTCAAAAGGGTAAGGAAGGCAAGGACCTTGGAGGTGCAAAGACAAATCGCACATCTCCGGAATTGCAAACGAAGACCTCTATCTGACAAGTGATCTGCAGGTTGGAAATGTTGCAAACCCCGCGTTCTGACATTTGAGGAATTCCTGACCATCCCACCATGCACCACCGGCAAGCACTCAACGGTGGACGACACACCCGCCGAGCCAGAGAAGGAGTCGAATGCTTCAGCCATCCTTGAGCAGCAAGCCGCTGCGCCCGCTCCCCCGCGGCCTGCGGTCTCGCCCGCCATTGCCCCTCCCTCGAACGCCGCTACGCCCGTTGTCGAAGACACAGAGGACGATGACCCCTCGCTGGAGATCCCGGCCAATGCCACCTGCCGTCGGCGAGGATGTAACAAAGGCTACGATCCGTCTATTTCGCGCGACGAAGAGAAGTGCGTCTATCACCCTGGCCAGCCAATCTTCCATGAGGGCAGCAAGGGCTGGTCATGCTGCAAGAGGCGGGTGCTGGAGTTTGACGAGTTCATGAAGATCCAGGGGTGCAAGGAGAAGACGAGACATCTCTTTGTTGGGAAAGGGAAGCCCGCTGGCGAGGAAAAGGTCGAGACGGTCAGGTATGCATCTTCTACGGACCAACGGATCATGGGAGACCAAGCTGACGGTTGCTGTCTTGCAGGAATGACTTCTACCAGACCCCGTCGACGGTCACTGTCTCACTATATCTCAAGAAGATTGACAAGGACAACGCCAAAGTCACCTTCTCCTCCACATCGGTCGAGTTCGATCTGCCTACGACGGACAACAAGCGGTATAAGGATACGTACCCTCTGTTTGCGCCGATTGTCCCAGAACAGTCTTCTTTCAAGGTCTTGGGAACAAAGCTGGAGCTCAAGCTGGTCAAGGTTGATGGGACAAGCTGGCCAGTGCTACGGAGCGACGACAAATGGACGGGAGAAAGAATTCAGATTGGACAGGCCGGCAGAGCTTGAGTGCCGGCAGGCTCGAGTATATGAAATTTTCACTTCGGTTATACTTCCACGGCATTAAGCTTATGAGATCAATGATAATGTTCATCGGCTTATACAACTACAGAATTGGCTCGAGATATGGAGTTATGATCGAAGTAAGCTTTCATTCTGATAAATTCTGCATAGCAAGACCGCAGTCAAGTACTTGTACACACATCAATGCACAAGTGTACTCAAAAAGAAAGGATGTCACGCCCCCTCCACAGCGTAAGCGCATGGGGCTTTAATCTTTCGAAAAAAAGCCCTCGCTCAGCCATGTATTGTGTAGGGAAAAAGGAAGACGCACGTAGAGTAAATCCACGCTGTTCTCCAGAGCCGGGAACGGAAGGAAACCCATAGAGAAAAAAATTCCCGCAAGAATAACCTTCAGCGAGCAGTACTTTGACTGAGCTCCGGGTTTGAAATTTACATGGTCATGTAAACCTCTACTGATGATGAGGAAAGAAAAGAAAAAGAAAGGGAAGAAGCGTCGCTGAAGAAGTCCTTTTGTAGGTGATCTGACAGATTGCGCTAGCGGGTTTCGGGACTAGTCGAATGCCAATATGGGTCTTACTTAGGGTTAGGGTACTTATGGCACATGATGGGCCAGCTCGGTGAAGCATCACGTGATTTACGCCACTGGGAGAGTCACATGGTTGAGAATCACATGCAAACGTTGAGCTTGGGAACAAAAAGGGACTAGCGTCTACGCCTCTGTAATTATGGTGCCTAGTTCCCTTTTCGACGTCAAGCGCGGTAGGAGAGTAAGTCTTTGTAACAGTGGATGAGTGGCGAATGATATCAAGTAACACTTCAGTAGTAATTTCATAGTGGCTTCGATCAAGTCCAGTTGTCGTCATGCGTAGCGGCGTGTGATCGAGGAAAGCCGGACTTTAGCCTAGATACCTTAGGGACAAGGCCGCCCTTAGTGCCTTGGATTCTTGGAGGGGCTACTGGCGCTCTTCCAATCAAGGTCAAGAGGGCACGAGACCAACGTTTCCCTCTTTTGTCCCTTTCTCCCCTTCCCCTGATCGATTTTATTTTGTATTCTTTTCAAGCTGCACCTTTCTACCCTTACTGGATTTACTCGTGTTGAACTGGAGCATCAATTGCCGGTCAATTCATGCTTCTGACTTCTTCGGTGTAGATAATCATCCTCTTGGCGCAAGATTACTGATTGTTACAGGGTGCAAAGGGGCCGTAACTAAGTGTACAGGTTCGTACCACAAGTCGCATAACTTTCTCTCAGGCCACATGAGAGTCACTCCCCTTGCATTATCCGATACAATGTCATATGGAGACTTGATGCCCCAAAAATATCTTTGTGCGACAAGTGTTGACTGTTTGTTTTCGCAGGACCAGGACTCTCAGGCTTCACTCCTTGTTCGCTCGTCGCTGCTTAGACCACAAGACTTGATTCACATACAGCATTAAGATGGGATCAACGGGTGATATGAAGGACGAGGCCCTTCCGCCTCTAAGATTCATCCCTCTGTCATACAACCATGCCGATTCCCAGGCCTCTGCGCTCAGGCTTGTTCTGACGCTGAACCCGCAGTGGGAGGGTCCGGACAACAATATCGAGTTCGTGCGTTTCACGGACGGCATCACGAATACTGTGTGTTTCTTCTAGAGGATCGTAATCAAGCGGGAGCAGAGCTGTGAACTAATCTCGGGTTTTTTCTAGCTTCTCAAAATCATTAATCGGAAACCTGGCTCGACCGAGGAACGAATAGACAACGAAGCAGTACTGATGAGAGCGTACGGTAACCACACAGAGATCCTCATAGACCGCGAAAGTATGATATGTCCGGGGACCCTTTTCTCTTGCCGAACGCGACTTGCTGAGTAGATATGCTCTATCTATAGGAGAAACCACATCCCATGCGCTTCTGGCCAGCCGTGGCTTGGCTCCTCCCCTTCTGGCTCGTTTCCAGAACGGACTCCTCTACCGGTTCATCCGAGGCCGTCCAGCAACCCATATGGACCTGGTGAAGCCTCCGCTCTGGCGGGGCGTTGCCCGAAGGCTTGGACAATGGCATGCGGTGCTGCCTACCGGTGGACACAGCGCGTCCAGTTCATCTGCCAAGGAGCTCCCCGTATCCCACCAAGTAGATGTCGACGATCAAAACCAACCCAAGCAAGAAGATGCTTTGGACACCATCAAGCCCCGAGTGCCCGGTCCCAACATGTGGACTGTTCTGCAGAAATGGATCCTTGCTCTTCCCACCTCGACCGAGGAGCAGCGTGCCCGGAGACGTGCCTTGCAGAAGGAGTTGGAACGGGTGGTGCGTGAGCTGGATGATGGACGGGGTCTTGGTGACGACGGAGTATGTAGCCTCTTTTCTCTGGCACGACACCTACTGACATTGACAGCTGGTCTTTGCCCACTGTGACCTCCTCTGTGCCAACGTCATCGTCGTGCCGCAGGGTCCTACCGCTGCCGCAACCTCGGACAAAGAAGCGGTAACTGTGCAGTTCATCGATTATGAATACGCGACCCCCTCTCCGGCTGCTTTCGACATTGCCAACCACTTTGCCGAATGGGGCGGATACGACTGCGACTACAGCATGATGCCCACGCGGTCCGTTCGCCGACAATTCCTGACCGAGTATGTCAGAAGCTACGGTCAATACCGGGGGATTCCCGAAACGGCCCAGCAGGAAATTGTCGACCGATTATATGAGGATGTCGATCGATTCCGTGGTATTCCCGGACTATACTGGTTGGTACCTTCTCACTGGCACTTGAACCTGAACTGACAAGTATAGGGGCGTGTGGGCACTCATCCAAGCCCAGATCTCGCAGATCGACTTTGACTATGCTTCGTACGCGGAGACCCGGCTGGGTGAATACTATGCCTGGCGGCGAGAAGTGGATGGCTCGCGGGCTCAGGCGGGTGAAGAGATGCCCCTTCGGGAACATCGCTGGGCTGAGCCTTAGTTAGCTTCCATCGCACTACCCAGTACTGTCTTATGTATATAATCAACTTACTTCACATAGAGCAAGAGCATAACATATGCATGTGGCCTGCTTTTTGCTTCTTGCAAGGTTTTCAACAATATCCTTGAGATTGGCGGTTCAGCGTTTAAAATATGGTGACAGCGCTTGTCTTCAACGACGCATGTGTCAGCGTCTACTGTTTTTAATACAAAAGCATGTATCAGATATCCTCGCGTCTTATTCTTCTGTGATACTATTCAGGCATGCGATGATAAATCAATATGTATCTTGAGGGTCACCTTATGAAGAGTAATATATTCATCCTAATGATGACAAGATTGTTATCGGCTTCATCTGCAAAAGTGTCTCGTGACATAAATTCAATTAGCACATAAATCCTTCAGTACACGCTTATAAGAAGTCGCTCTATATACTAGTGACAAGGAAATTACAAACGATGATGCAACGACGGCAATGACACATCCGACACATGTGACGAAGGAGACGTAGAAACCTCCAACTTCAACGCCTCCACCAACCTCCTCCACGCCCTCCACCCACGCACAGCATGCTTCTCAGGCGTAGCCGGGTCCGGATCCGCCAGCGTCCTCGAAAACAGCTCCAGCGACACCCACCCCTCAAACCCGAGGTCAAAAAACGCCCGCGCCACATCCAGCACAGGGAGGTATCCGCCTCGGTCCTCCTCAAAGGGGAACAGTCTTGCATTCCGCGACCAGCTCATGCGCGGTGGCTGCCCAGGGACATGGAACGGGTGGTTCTCGTCCAGCGGGGCGGAGAGGCGCTCTCCGTCGACGATCTGGATGTAGAAGACCTTCTTGACGTCGACGATCGCGCGGAGACGCTGTAGCGAGGCGGCCAGGTCTGTCTCTGCGTGGGGTGTTTTGCCGGAGGGTGCGGCCGGGTCCGCGTAGACGCGGGCTGCGAGGTTGAATGTGTCGAGGCAGAGGCCGAGGTTGGGCCGGTTGGCGCGCGAAACCACGGCCCAGGCTTGCTCCCAGGTGGAGATGTGGGTGCCCCATGCAAGGGCCTCGTAGACGAAGCGGAATGGCGGCGACTGGGCGGCGCCGAGGTCTGCGATGCGCTGGAGGTCGGAGACAATCAGACTCAAATCGCCTGTTGTGCGGGGTGCGCCGGTTGCTGGGTCAGGCGGGAGGAAGTTGGAGGGGATCTGGATGAGGTCTGTGTTGAGGATGTGGGCGATCTGGAACCATTTGGGGAGCTTTTCGGTGAGGAGGTGCTCGGTCTGGGTGCGGTCGAGGAGACCCTCGTAGAAGAGGAAGGGCTGTAGGCAGATGATGGAGAGGTGCAGGGACTCGCAGAGCCGGCGGACCTCGCGCGCGGCGGCGATGTGGCAGCCGTTGAAGCTGGAATGGGCCAGGCAGTCGAGGTCGTCGAAGAAGAGCTCGATGCCTTCGTAGCCGTGCCGCGAGGCTTGATGGAGCTTGGTGGGCAGGTCGTGGATTCCTGGCCGGCCCAGCGACATGGACCCGATTCCTAGGCGGTTGGGCATTGCAAATGCAGTTGTTTGGTTGTCTCTTCTGAAGATGCACTGTCTGCAATAGTCTAGAGGATGTGCAGTTTAACTTTCTCAGAGGTATGTAGTGTCAACAGTCACTTTATTTGTGGCTTGTACGCGTCACACCGAGCGTCGACGCCGATCGATAACGGCAGCCAAGGCGGGCTTATCATTATTGTATCTTCAGTACTGACATCGAACTGATATCTTCTCTTTTTGTAGACATCTCTCGCATAAACACGGAGCTGTCATCAGAAGCTTGTTCTCGTCAGTGTTGGGATGGCGCCGGTTAAGCGTTTACCAGGCGTAGTGTTTATCCCAGCGTTTACCCCTCAGGGTCCGCGGGGAGCCAAGTCTGAGCCCTCTGCATGTCCATAGACGTTCATGGCAAAACAATCACTGCTCATTCATGAAATGATATTCCAGACAGACTCCGAGAAGAGTAACGCGCCTGTCTTTAATTCGTTACATACATCCACATGCCTATCGCATATGCATGTTGCATATTCTCCGGAATCGGCATTGGATGATTCTGGGAGGATTTACCCCAGACTACTGCATTATATGACTCGTCCAGATATTATTATTTATATACCACTGCATGAAAGCGTTTGCAGTGCACAAATTGAGGAACTGACCAAATCATCATGTCCCTGCGAGTCATCATCGTCGGCGCCGGCCTCATCGGCCCTCGCCACGCCCAATCCGTCCTCTCCAACCCATCCACCAAGCTCGTGGCTCTCATCGATCCAGCCAGCAGCGCTGCCCTCATCGCCTCGCAGCTAGACACGAAACACTTTCCCTCCATCCCCGCCATGCTGGCGGCCATCCCAAGACCCGACGCCGCCATCATCTGCACCCCAAACCACACCCACGTCCCCATCGCAACGGAGCTCCTCACCCACGGCATCCACGTCCTCGTAGAGAAACCCCTCAGCGACAGCCTCGAATCCGCTCAGTCTTTGCTAAATTTCGCCAGCCGCCCCGAAAACAGCCACCTGACTCTCCTGGTCGGCCACCACCGCCGCTTCAACCCCTACGTCGAGAAAACCAAGCAGATACTGGACAGTAACTCCCTCGGCAACCCCATCGCAGTCAACGGACTCTGGACTCTCTACAAGCCTCCGTCCTACTTCGCCCCGCCAACGGACTGGCGCCGGACCTCCAAATCGGGGGGCGTCGTGCCAATCAACCTCGTCCACGATATCGATACACTGCAGTATCTGTTTGGTCCTATCACCCGCGTGCACGCGGAGAAGACACCACGACAGCGAGCTAACCCGCCGCATGAGGTCGAAGAAGGCGCAGCGCTGATTCTGTGTTTTGCGTCTGGTGTGGTGGGCACGTTCCTCGTCTGTGATGCTACACCCTCCCCGTATAACTTTGAGATGGGGACGGGGGAGAACCCGCTTATCCCTTCTCCGGGGGCAGGTGGTAGGGCGGACTTCTACCGGATCTTTGGCGCCGAGGCGTGTCTCAGTGTGCCTGATATGACGCGGTGGAGTTATGATGGGCGGGCGGAGAAGAGTTGGACTGAGGAGTTGGCTGTGGAGAGGTTTGAAGTAGACCAAAGGGGGACGCCGTTTGATTTGAAGCTGGCGCATTTTGTGGAGGTCATTAAGGGGAGGGCGCGGCCAAGGTGTTCTGGGGAGGATGGGTTACGGGCGTTGATGGTTTGTGAGGGGGTGAGGAGGGCGTTGGAGACGGGGGAGACGGTTGAATTGCCTCTGGTATAGTTTGTATAAACTGGACTGGTAATGAGCGAGCAAGTACAAAGGAGTGACTTATACGCCCCCAGGATGGGCTTGAATATTCATGCGAGCGATCTTATGTTACACCAGTGTTGCAGCAATATCAATTCCTGTATGTCTGAATGAATCGCACGACTGTACATATACCATGCTAGGCCTTGGGCAAATGCTCTGGCAAGTGCTCCACCTGCTGGTCACCCGACTTGCTATACCCCGACTCCTCAATATCATGCCTGAACCGCTCCTCGTCTTCCCAAAGTCTGGCCAGGACCGTCTCATGGGCACGCCAGATCGGCTTCGTCTCAAACAAGGCATCCATGCTCTCCAGCGGAATGCCCTTGGTTTCCGGGATGAGGAAAAACACAAAAACGATGGACAGCGCCATCAGCGAGGCAAAGAAGAACCACACGCCGTACTCCATCTTGGCAAACATCTGTGGCGTGAAGCGCGAGATGAGAAAGTTCCAGAACCAGTTGGAGGCGGCCGCGCAGGCCTGTGCGAGGGAGCGCATGTTGGGCTCGAACATTTCCTACCCTAGTCAGTGAATCCCTTGACGCAGGTGGATGAGGGGACGTACCGAATTCATAACCCAAGGAGTTCCGTTCCACGAGGGAGTGTAAAAGACGGTGTAAAGGTAAAAGAAGAACATGGCCGCAATGCCGCCGCCTGTCATCTCCTGGGTCGGATGAGAGGCTGGGTTGGCGATCTTGATATAAGCGCCAACAATAAACAGACAGACTGAAGCGCCTGCAGCTCCGATGAGCAGCAGCAGACGCCGTCCCAAGCGGTCGATCAGGTAGAGGAGCCAGACAAACGTGACCACGGTCTTGACGACTCCAAAAATACCGGTGCTGAACATGCTGGTGTTTGCACCCTGCAAACCAATACTCTTGAACACCGTGGGACTATAGTAGTTGATGGCATTGATGCCACTGCCGTTCTGCCAGAAGAAGAGCATGCTTCCCAGGAAGAGGCGATACATGACCTTCTTGTTGGTTCCGGCGGCCTTGAAGGGCTTCCAGAAGCCAAGGCCAATGGTGGCGCGCTGCTCCTCCAAGGCCTGGTCAACCGCGCCGATCTCCTCGATCATGTATATGTGATCCGCAGGCAGCTGGCGGATCCAGCAGAGGTTCTTGATGGCGTCTTCCCGACGTCCCCGGGAGAACAGCCAACGCGGAGACTCTTTGAGAAAAACGGCACCGATGAGGAGCAGACCGGATGGGATCAACTGCACGGCGAAGGGGATGATCCACTGCTTATGGCTGGGGGCCAGAGTCTCACTAACGCCGTACTACACAGCATTAGCACGTTGATGAGAGGAACGGAACATAAAGGAACGTACATTGATCCAGAAGCCCACCAGGCCACCAATCTGCCAGCCTAACTCGTAGACCCCAACCAGTCGCCCTCGAATCGAGGGCGGAGCCATCTCGGAAATGTAGATGGGAGTCATATTTGAGCCTGCACCGACACCAAGACCGGCCAGAACGCGCCCTCCGTAAAGCAGGCCCAGCCCCCGATCACCGTTGGCACCGAGCATAAGACCAGCGCCAAGGGAGAAAATAGAAGCGGCAACTAGCAGACCCCATTTTCGACCCCAGAAATGACCAATGGGGTAGGCGAAGAAAGCCCCAAAAAAGGCGCCGGCCTGGTAGCAGGAGACGATGTTGGCGCTCACCAGATTGACCGCCGTTTTGCTCATGGCGTTGAAACCAAACTCTTCCTTGAACGAGCTGAGGGCAAGAGTGGTTCCAATAAAGGCACTGTCATAGCCAATCATGCATGATGTGAAGGAGGCCAAGGCGGCCAACAGGTAAATCCTCCAGTTGTAGACCTCCTTTGGCGTTGGTCGATCTTCGACCAGAGCAAGGATGGACATTGTGCAATCTACGAGTCCGGATACGAGAATGTCAATCGAATGGTACTAAGGGTGACTGGGAGATGAGAAGAAAGTCGACGGCGAGGCATCAACTTTATCTAAATAGCCAACAAGCCACAGTTGTGGATAAACAGTCCGAGCGACGAAAAATCTGGGGATAGACAGCGTGGAGATGCGGAGGCGGAGGAGTTGCTAAGAACTCTGGTTAAACCATTAGAGCGCCCTATGGAGTGGAAGGAGAGCATTCGGAAGAAAGAAGATTAAACTTTGCATCGTCTAAATGTTAAACAATAAGAGTGCCAGTCGTCCATAGCACATAGCATCCTGGGACGGACTCCGACACCGCTGAGAGTAAGGGAAGCCAAGACTGCTAGAGTCCCCAGAATATTCAGATGGATTGGTGAACCTTGGTCAATGGTCCGTGGCTGGGAAAAGGGATACGCCGGCTGATGTTCGGTTGTGGAAATTGGTTCCCCACGGGGCATCAATTACACTATGGCACTGAATTTGGCTCGTGAATCGTAATCATGCCAAAAAGTCAACCACAGCTGATTAGGCGGGAAAGCGTTCTCCCCGTGAAGAGTTTGCCATTAGCAGTATTAGTGCTGAAGCCAAATTTCCTAGTGTACTTGGCACTCGGATGTTGTCCGAGAGGAGCGAGTGCCAGCTGATAGATTGGTTCTGTTCAGTATGGACGTTCTCTTGATAAGATGAGATGAGGATTAATTGATAATGTTGAGTTGCTGAGTGATAAACTGATGATGGTGATGGTGAAAACTGAAAAGGGAAGAAGACCGTGATAAAGACTGGTGATGGCTAAGCAAACATCCGAGTCACGCGCAGCTAAACATTTCTCCGGATGGGATGCAACTACAACCTCACCAGACTAGTATGTTTTAAGTATCAGGTTTTCTACATCATCTATTTCCAAACCGTGAATTGCACATCAGTCTCGACCTGGATACTGTCTAGTATCCCATTGTCCTGCAGTACCATGGCCTCCCAGATCATGGATGCCGTCCCTGAACAACAACAACCAGAAGAACCCATCAGCATTCCCGATCACTTCGATGGAGTAGCATATCTCTACGGTCATCCTCTGCTCAACTCGCTATCCCCACCTCTCCATCAAACAATATACAAGACCCTCAATCTGAACTGGACCCAGATCCCCCTCTCCAGCGTCTACGGCACATCAGAATCCTACCCTCCACCATACACCCGCTCACCCCCGATCCCCAAATTCCTCGCGTCCATCAAGTCCAATCCCAAGTTCGTCGGCTCCTCGGTGACCATGCCATGGAAAGTCACCATTATGCCGCACCTCGACGACCTCACCGAGGACGCCCGCCAAGCCGGCGCCTGCAACACCATCTTCCTCCGCCCTGAAGCAGACGGCACCACCTCGTACGTCGGCACAAACACAGACTGCATCGGCATCCGCGAGGCTCTTCTCCAAAACTCCACGGGTGAGGATGCCTTTCGCAACAAGCCCGCCCTCATCGTCGGTGGAGGCGGCACCGCACGCACAGCCATCTACGTGATGCGCAGGTGGCTCCGCTCCAGCAAGATCTACATCGTCAACCGTGAGGCCGCCGAAGTAGCTGCCATCCTGGAAGAAGACAACCAGCGCAACCCCTGCCCGAACAAGGCGCCTCTCGTCCATGTGACTGACCCCACGGTGGCGGCTCGTCTGGAGGCTCCCGCAGTCATTGTCTCGGGGATTCCTAACTACGCACCCAAGACGCCGGGCGAGATCCAAGCTAGGGAAGTGCTGCGGGCGTTTCTAGGCCAGACTCCTGCGTCGACGTCTGACTCCAAAGGCGTGATTCTGGAGATGTGCTATCACCCTGTACCGTGGACGGAGATTGCGCAGTTGGCCTCGACGGCTGGGTGGAAGGTGATTCTTGGTTCGGAGGCGTTGATCTGGCAGGGCTTGGAGCAGGCAAGGCTGTGGACGGGTAGGGATGTGGTTGCTGAGCCTGGGCTGGTGGATAAGGTCAAGGAGGTGGTGGGCCAGTTGATTGCTGAACGGGTGCCGTCCAAGTCAAATCTGTAGCCTGCATGTATAAAAGACTGCTGTACATAGACTCTCTCTAGACCAATAAATCTTCATGAAGCTATGCACCAGGTCGTGTGTAGTCCAACTCCCTCACTCGCTTCCACACCTCCCTCACGGTCCTCTCCTGCGTCTGTCTCCCCGTCTCGGTCTCCGACGGCCCAGCCGGCCGAATAGCCAGATACAACCGACTGCCCAGCCGCACCTCCTCTATGGGGTCCGTCTCGGGATTCGCAGGCGGATTCGCCGTCGTGACCAGCCCCCCAGCTTCAAGCAGAATCGCAATCCCAGCAGCCACATCCCTACAATAGCCATCCACCGTTAATCGAGAGAAAGAGAGGGCGAAAAGAAGAAGACAACATACCACTCCCAACACCCCCCCTCCCACCAAATATCCACCGCCCCCATAGCCGTATACGCCAGATCCAACGTCGCGCTCCCCAGACTCCGCACCCCGTGCACCATCGCCCCACTCTCAGCAGCCATATTCACAAAACTCTGAACCTTGCGCGCCAGGTTACCTCCAGGAATATCCCGTCTGTCCTTGCCCCATTCACACGCAAAGATGCACCCCCTCGGCGCGGTGGGCGGCATCGGCGGGATCAAGGTGCGGCGTAGCGGCAGACGGCGCGAGCCGCGGTGGTCATTCAACCAGGCGCCGCGGCCGAGACAGGAGGAGAAGAGCTGGTTGGTGGCGGGGGCGTAGATGACCCCGATAATTGGGCGGTGGTTAACTACAAACCCGATCGAGACGCAGAACATGGGGAAGAGGTGTGTGAAGTTGACGGTTCCTGGCCAGCTTAGCTTACCACTACCCTGTTTACAAGTGGATGTGTTGAAGGAGGGGATACCGTCTAGAGGGTCGATGCACCATGTTGGGTGTGCGTCAATGAGGTACTCGCGGGATTGGCCCTGTGCGTAGGTTTCTTCGCCGAGGAATCTGGTTGTCGGACTGTTAGTATGCGCTTGGTGGAGGTGAAGATGGACTTGACAGACTTGTGCTCGGGGTATCTGGTTTGAATTGCGGATTTGATGAATGTTTCCACGTCTAGGGTAGCTTAGTTGCTTTCTTCCTTTGGTAGATGGATATGTAGATGAGGATACCCTCGTCAGTTTGCGTGACAATGTCAACCGCGTTGTCCTTCTCTGCGTATGCGTATGTGGTCTCGCCGTCGTTTGCGATCCGCTTCTCGATGCTCTCGAGGAGAAGATCGCCGGCCTTGCGACCGAGATCGACTGCAAAGGCGTAGATCTCGTCTAGTTGTGCTTGGGTAAATTCCATGGCCATCTTGTTGAAGTTCCTCTATGAAGTATGAATTGTGTATGTAGATGGGAAGATAGTTGAGTAAGAGAGATCGCAATGAAGCCAATGGACTGGATGTCCTCAAGAAACCCAAAAACCCGTGAGTAACCGCTCCGGATATTTGGCATTGCGAGAATCATACTACCTAGTACAGCTGAGTGGGGTGGATGGGATTCTATCCCTATTCTAGAGACTCGAGGCTGCTCATCGACTGCTACGAGGCCAGGCCACGCTCCACCTTAGCATATGAAGCATTACGCCAATGACATAATGGAGAGTCAATAGAAATGGAACTTCTCTTCATGATAATACAGCGATCGCTGTACATCTCATCTTATCGCGATACAGTAACGCAGGAGGGCAAGAGTCTCGGTTGAGAGCGGCCTGTTACTGTAATTCTCTCCGGCAAAGCGCTCTTCCCTCGGGCTTTCGTTTCCCCATATTCTACGGAAGCCACCCCGCAATCCGCATCAATAGGCAATATGTAGTAGTCTCTGGATGTTTACACAGACAGATAGATTATCCATGGTAAAGAATAAGACAACCGATCTCGTAGACTGTAGATCTCACTTCCCTGCAACCATTACTTTCAATCCGCTTTAAGAACCTCAACCTAAACGTCAATCAACTCCGCCATGGGCAAATCAATCCTCCTCATCAACGGCCCCAACCTCAACCTCCTCGGCACCCGCGAGCCCGAGATCTACGGCAGCACAACCCTCGCCGACGTCGAAGCCTCCTGCAAAGCCCACGCCGAGTCGCTAGGCGCCACCCTGGCCACCTTCCAGTCAAACCACGAGGGCGCAATCATCGATCGCATCCAGGCCGCCCGCGGGACCGTCGACGGCATCATCATCAACCCCGGTGCCTTTACGCATACCTCGGTGGCGATCCGGGATGCGCTGCTCGGCGTGGGGATCCCCTTCATCGAGCTGCATGTGAGCAATGTGCATGCGCGCGAGCCCTGGAGGCACCATAGCTATTTCAGTGATAAGGCGGCGGGGATTATCGTTGGCTTGGGGGTGTATGGGTACAAGGTTGCCGTGGAATATGTCGCGTTGAACTTTAAGGAGAGGGCGGTTTTGTAGTTGGTCGGGTAATTCTCTTCGTATACCCTATGTACATTCATATCAATGAACATCAAGCGTCAAGCTCAACAGTTCATAGCAACTGACGTCTGTCATCTCTTCGGCTGTCGTTCTCGGTGTACGACCGCAGAACCCTCGGAAAGTTGCTGCGTCTGTGCCAGGAGAAAAGGCTCTTGACTGGAGTACGAGTACAGCCCCGAAAGCCCGGCGTCAGGGACAAACCCTAGATTCTGCATAAACTCGGGCTGGTTGTCACCCCTGTCCAGTCATCAGCATCGGTCAGCAGTCGACATGCGAAAAGAAGTCACTCACTTCTCGGTACCATCCAACGATGCCAGCTCGTCAAACAATGCATCAAGGTCTGGCGCGATTCGCGGTCGGCGTAAAGATGCATATCCGTCAATATCAACAAATGTCCCAAGGTGTAGATTCGGATCACTATACGTCTGCTGGTACTGGGGCKTGTTTACGGGAAAGGGCGACGGTATGTCTGGTATTGTACTTCTGTCACTGATGAGCTTTGGAGCGGACGAGATCGAAGAATGAGGTCTCTGGGTGGGGATTTGTAGTTGGGAGGCGTGATGCGAAGGTCCGGCGGTTCCCCTGACGGAAGGTGTAGGTAGAGACAGAGCAACGTTGTCTTCGACACTCGGCGTCCTTGCCCAGGCACTTGTCAAGAACGAGTCCGGTGTGGAGAACATAGCCCGAATCTCGTGTTGTCCACTGCCACCCAAGGGCTGCAAGGCAGGATGGCCAGCCATACTGTCCGACGACGCACGTCGAGCAGATGCATCAACGTTATGTAGATGAGTTAGCCGGTCAGCTGCCGACATCGGTACGATCGCATCCTCCGCTCTCAGTGAGAAGCCAGCTCCCTCTGTCGCGCTGTCCTGCGACCATACCGTAGAAAGATGCGATGAGTACGCTTCAAGTTTGTTCTTGAGCCCAAGATCAAGTTCAAACACCCCTGGCGCATCTTGTCTCTCCCCCGAGGAGATACCAAACGTCAAAAGCATTCCGAAAATTGGGCTTGTCGCCGCCAGGCTATAAGTTTCCATGTACTTCTGCAACAGCAGCAGGAGTCTCTTTAAGCTCTCAATCGCATAACTCTTTCTCGTGTCTGACATGTGTTTATCACCCTGGCGTAGAGTACCCAAAGATAGAGCAGTGACGCTGCTTTCAAACATCATTTTCCAATCCGAATATATGAGGCGGGGCAAGCCTTGTCGGACTTTGCAAGTCAACACGGTAGCTTTTGGGGAGGGCCGACACCCAATGTTGTAACTGGCGTTCCAGCGCCTCGAGTTGTGGTGTCGGATTGTTCTCCAATTGCTTTGTGCAAGAAGCCTCGTTCAAGATACACATCAAAGAGACCAGCCGGTTGAATGTGCTGAGAGCATGAAGGGGCCCACGGTGGGAAGGACCACGCGACGATTCTGCGGGTCGCAGACCGGTCTGATCTTCCCAAGGATGCCATTCCTCCAGACCATCCTCATTGATCGGGCCGGTCTTGACAAGATCCTCTTTGCGTAGCGACGGTGCCTGACCAGTTTTGATGGCAATCAGTGTTTCCAGTACGAAACAGCCTAAAAAGACATGTTCTGACCGTGCCGAGCCCTTCTCATCTCCAGCCACGCCAGTCAGTGGAGATCCCAAACCCAGCCACCGTGCAATTCGAACCGCTTGCCCTACCAGCATCCATGCAGCATTCCATTCTTGTTGTCCGAGTTTAACTAAGGATAATATCAAAAGCGCCTGCACATGCCCAATCTCATGAATGTCATCCTCGGCGGGTATCAATATTTTCGCTGTGGCGTACAGCTGACTAGAGCGTGGCCGGTTTGGGGAACCGGCCACCTGACGTGTGGCGGCGATAGACCTCTCTTGCATGGACGCCAGAGTCAAAACTGCCCAAAGGGCAGCATAGTCCCCGGATCCTGCGGTCCGAGGCGAAATTTGCACATTATCTTCAGACTGCCGGAATGCTGTTCGAAGTATATCATGCTTCTCGAGAATGGGAAACCAACACTGCGTGTAAGAAAAGTAGACATCAAGCAGTGTCCACACATTGGAGGGAAGTCGAGGGGGGTTTGAGGCTTGCGAATGTATGAAAGGCTGCGACAACAGGCTCTCTGTAGAGGCGCCAATGGTATTTGGACTGAGGACCGTCTGGGTGCCGCTGTCTTTTGTGGTACGAGGTGGCAGGTGACTGGGGAAAGGTCCAGATGAGGGCGTTTTGGAAGGAGATAGACAAGAAGTCCGTGATTCTCGACACGCATCTGTGACACCTTCAGGTAGCTGCCACTCGAGGGTGTCCGAGAGCGCACTGCTCCCCCCAGCTTCCGGAGAGTCCGTCTCCCCAGGTCCTCGAATTGCCTTGTCCTGTTCCTCTTCAGGCTGGTCCAAAAAAGTCAACATGCGCTCTATCTCCTTGAGAACAATGCTATTCTTCCAGGACGAAACAAGGTCATCGGAACCCTCCGTCTCTTTGCCCATAGTAGCCAGGTGACTCGGCATATTGGCTGCCCTGAGCAAGGCGCGGACCACATCCTCACTCCCCTTAATCTTGCAAAAGACTAGTCCCCACAGCAACTCCAGCGTGCGAATGTATCCGGTCGGCAAACCCCGCTTCTTGGGGTTGGCCTTATAAGTGCAAGGTCGACATAATGATGCGCAAGTCGAGCAGACCGGCTGCACCCCATCGCATTTATCCTTCTTGGAGCGACAGCTGTCGCAGGCACGCGACACTCGCTGTCGCTTGGATTGCGCGGAATTGTCGTCAGCAGCCATGCGTCTGGCATCTTCGTCGGCGTCGGTCAATCGCCGTTTGGACCTGCTACCAGCCCCTGGGGCTTGGCGCATATCGTTGCTCATGTCTTTCTGTACAACGGGCCACCAGAGCGTTCTGGACGCATGGTCATGTTTGACCCGTTATCGCGGAGATGAATGCTTTGCCGGACGTTGATGTGATCGATCGACCTGTGTCTTTGCCGCTTGAGTATCGGGGAATAGGTACAAAAACTAGTCTTGTTAAAGGCAAGCTTTTCCTGATCAGATAAAGACACAGATGAAGCTAAAGCCAATTGGAGATAGAATGTGTGGTATCAGCAATGTGTGTCTCTTTTGCCAGAGCGGAGAAGAGAAACTCGAGGGAAGCCTCTTTTGATGGGGGGGTCGGGGAGAACCACAAACTGCTTACCCGCGGCTGCAGGTTGCTAGATCTTGCCCATACGTACTCGATGGATGGCAGAATAGTAAAATTAATATTTGTCGCCTGTCAGGAAATACTACAGTCGCTATAACTCCAATGATCGCCTGCTGATTGAGCAAATTAGCAAATGCTGCCAGACCCTAGAACTCTGGGGATGATGGCCCCAGGCATCAATTACCGACCCTTTCGATCCCCGCGGGGTAAATTACGTAAAGTGACAGTACCTGATGCGCGGCAGAGTGTTTGTCCGCAGTGCCTCAGGCCACCAGGCGCGAAGGGGTCTTCCCCTTGGGCCACGAAGAAATGAGGACAGTCTGACGCTGTCCTGCTATCCCCCGCAGCTTGCATTATTCTGTGTGGCCGATTCACTTCTCTTGGATCCATGAGGGATATCATATGGTCGAGTTTGATTGGCGTTTTTGGCTTACTGATGGCTACATTGGCCTTTCGTCCTGACCGCTCACATTGAGTCATCCCTCACACGCAGCTTCTTTTAATATGTGCAGCTTCAGAGTCTCCGAATGCTCATGATCTTCAAATCCAAGACTTCTCCCAAACGACATGTCGATCCTAGCGAGGCCGGCAAAGCGCAAGTTGGATGAGGTTGAAGGGCTTGAGGCATCAAATAGACACCTTTCTACCCGTGGCAGTCGCATCGCCTTAGACTCGATCCAACCATCAATCCTCGCATCTGAACATGATGCTGCTCTTCCTAGGCCCGAGTCTTTCCCGAGGCAGGAACAGTCGGATGTGTATGGCGAATATAACTGGTACTCAAACTCTCCGCGCACTTTGGACTCGAATCGCGCATCCCCAACACGCCTCGAAAGTCCTCCTGAAACACAGAGGATTTTCTCTCCTAATGCGTCGATTGTATTGATCGGTATCCGTGGTACTGGAAAGTCCAGTCTCGCCGTCATTCTCGCCGCGACCTCAGGAAAGCGAATGATTGATGCGGATCAATACTTCCAGCAGGTGACGGGTCGTTCCCGTGCTGCATTCAAGAAGGAATATGATCTCACCGAGTATCGTCAGCAGGAGGCCCGAGTGATGGAGTCAATGCTTGCAGAACACAAAGAAGGGTGCGTCATCGCGTGCGGACCGGGATCCATGGAGCGCAGCGGGCAGCGATTGCTGCGAGAATATGCAAAGACTCATCCTGTCATTCACATTATTCGAGATCCCGAAAGTATTCAGTCGTATTTGAAAGCCTGGGATACGGTCAAAGTCCGCCGGTTTCTGGAGCTTTCTGGCCCGGTATATCGGGCTTGTTCGAACCTGGAGTTTTTCAATGTCTCCGAGAAGGGTTTCGCGGACTACGCAGGGAAAGACAACCATAACCACTCGCCGTTGGAATTGGAACTCGATCAGCGATCTCAAGTCTCCACCCCCTTCTTGACTCTCAAGCGGTTGCAGCGCGATTTCTTGAAATTTGTTGCCTTTGCAACCGGGGACAGTACCATCCTGAGTGGTCAGCAAGCGTCGTTCCCACTATCGATGCAGCCGGTTGAGTCTCGTATGCTCACCTACGCTGTGACTGTGCCAATATCATCCTTGTTTGAGCGCGAATTAGACATCGAGGACCTGGAATCCACCGCCGATGCGTTTGAGCTCAAGGTGGATATAACGGAAGGTTGTTCCGACGACCAGGGCATTGACTCGGCCCTGGCGGACAGAATAAGTCAAGCTGTGGCGACTATCCGCCGAAACATAGTCATTCCCCTGATATACCATGTCGAAAGTAGTTTGAGCCCTATAGGTTCTCCTGTGCAACACAACGGGCCCTTACGCCGCTCGGACGATGCATACCTGAATCTCAGCAAACACGGGTTACGACTAGCTCCTGAGTACTTGACGGTTGATCTCTCCTATAGCGATGATATTCTATCGCAGATTATTGCTTGCAAGGGGACGAGCAAAGTGATTGGGCATTTTGCATGGTCCCAGCCTTGCCCAAGAGGTTGGGAGGATGCGGAACCACTGGCAATGTACGAACGAGCCAGGCGACTAGGATGCGATATGGTTCGATTGACGCAGCCGGCAACGACAATCGAGGATAATTTTGCTGTTGAAAGATTTCGTCACCATGTCAGAGGTCTTCCGTGGCAGCTACCCGTGATAGCGTTCAATACCACCCCTCTGGGCAGAATGTCGAGCTGCTTCAATCCCATTCTCACATCCGTGGCACCTCCGCCACTGTTACCAGAGATGCAGTCCAAGTCCTTACCCTGTCTCACCTTGCGTGAGGCGCAAGGAGCGCTCTACGCCTCGTTCGCTCTGGATCCGATGCAGTTCTTTGTTTTTGGCGCGAACGTCACATATAGTCTGTCACCTGCGATGCACAATGCAGCCTTCAAGGTATGTGGGATACCGCATAAATATACGATTTATCAGTCGCCTTCCCTGCGAGGTTTGAATGAATTGGTCGAGAACCCCTATTTCGGCGGGACAAGTGTCAGTCTGCCCTACAAGACAGAAGTCATTCCTCTTCTCGACTCCATGTCACCGCATGCTCGGGCTATCGGAGCTGTGAACACACTGATACCGATCCGGAAGTTCCCTGATGGCGTTGACACCGCTATTGAGTCTTCTCTTTATCTTGAGAAGAGCCGGGCCGGCCCAACAAAGGCTTTGCACGGAGATAACACCGATTGGATTGGGATAGGAAATTGCTTTCGAAGAGGTCTATCCCCCGCCAATGCAATCCGTCCTTCGTCCACAGGCTTGGTTATCGGAGCCGGCGGTATGGCTCGGGCGGCAGTGTACTCAATGATCCACCTTGGGGTGCAAAACATCTTCGTCTACAATCGTACCATGGCCAATGCTGAGAAGCTGGCTCATCACTACAACCGACAGAATCTTTTGGCGCACGGATGGGGAGGCCCGAATTCTCGCTCGAAAGTCCACGTCCTGCAGACTTTGCAGGATAACTGGCCTGCCGATTACAAGCCACCGACCGTCATTTGCAGCTGCATACCTGCTCATAGTATTGGAGGAGTGCCAGCTCCCAACTTTCAACTACCTTCTCAATGGCTTGGGAGCCCTACGGGAGGCGTAGTAGTGGAGGTAAGTGAACTGATCTAGCATCGCTTTAAGAGACGAAGACTAATATCATGCAGCTGGCCTACAAACCTCTCAATACCCCGCTCATGAAGCAAATGCGCGCCATCTCCCATCGAGGCTGGGTTGCCCTTGATGGACTTGATGTTCTCCCAGAGCAGGGATTCGCGCAATTTGAGCTCTTCACGGGTCGCCGTGCTCCGCGGCGTGTAATGCGCAGGATCGTGTTACAGGAATACCAGGAAGTGGAGGGACAAGAAGAGCAAAGCGCTATCCAAAGTAGACTGGAAAATCTAGATGGACAGCCTACTTGATCCAGTCCCTTCAGAAATTTGATACAAGAAACTCTGGCGTTTCGTTCGGACAGTACATGACACTTCCGAAATGGGCGAACTGTCTATGGCCGAGGATCTCACTTTCTACAACCAGGACAGGTTTGAAAGGGAGATGCATGATCAAGGCTTACCTGCACGTCCACTTCTTCTACGCCAAGCAAAACGGTTGTGTATGTGGCCAGAGGCACGCTGCAAGCAAAAATCAACGTGTCATTCACTTCGTAGCAGCTACCGTATCATCCATCAACCAGAGTCAATTTTCGACAACTTGAGAACACCCTTCATGAAATCCCGACACCATCTTGAACAAAGGCAATCTCGCCAAGTCACACTTTCAGTTCTTCACAGCAACCGGCAGTAGTCCAGGTCGAGCCACCAGCACAAAATTCGCACAGCTTAACCTCGCATGATCCGACATGCGATGCACGACAATCGACCGATTCCCGAAATAGGCAGGCTCTCCCGGCTCCGTCGACAGGTAGAGGTCATTGTACTGCGCTTCAAATCCCTGATGATCTGCTGTGACGATGGGCCCGTGTTTCCCGCTCAGGTCGCCGATCTGGCAAGCCTGCGGGCTCGTCATGTTGCAGACGGTCTTGTTCCCCCGTCGGTACGGGTCGAAGGAGTTACCGGTTTTGTAGCAGTCGCCGTCGGCGGGGACGGGGTCCTCGTGGATAGAGTATGCTGCGCAGGTTGCGTCAGTCAATGCAAGGAACTAGGAAGGCACTACGTACCTAGGGCTTCATTGTCGGGGATACCCCAGAAGTCGGCGTGGACTTTGACGCCGTCGCCCTCTCGGGGGGCGAAGAGAGTGATCCAGCCGCGGAGGGTGGTGTCCTGCCTATGTGGGAGGGTGGCCTCGTACAGAACGTCGGCGCGGTCATTCGTCACGACGGGGGCAAAGGTGCCGTTTGGAGAGACGGCGAGAGCAGTTGATGAGAGGCTGAGTCTCAGAAGGACAAGCGTTGCAAGGAGTATGGACTGCATGTTGTCGTCTCACAAGCAATCAGATTTTCTGATTGAATAATATTAATTTCAGGGTTATCCCTGGTCCCTCTCCTACAAGGGCGACGGGAGGAGGCGACTGCGTTTATATCCAACCCTTGGAAGGAGTCAAGGAGCCTGGATGCATCTAGATGTCCGCAGAACTCAAGAAACAAAGAGTCACCGCTCGATAGTCGAAAGGTATCGAATACTAGCAACATTTTTACCCTGCCTTCTGCTCCTGATTGCAATTCATAGATTCATTGGCCGGAACGCCCTGTCCATGCGGAATGCACGCGTTGTGTCACGGCAATGCATGCCTCTTCACTCCTGACATCACAGGTTTATTTTCCACTGCAGTATGTCTCACTGCTACCGTAGGTTTCTAAAATGCAATGCTCTGGTTATTGCTGGTTGGTGAGATCAATGCGAGTTGCATTGGAATGAAAGACGCGGTTATGCGATTGTACTTCCGAAAGACACGCGAAGAATGTGGCTTGGTAACAGCGCCTTTAATCGTCATCGTCCATTGAAGCATACCTCTGCACACCTATTATCCGAGTCAGCAGAGAGGTATTGCTCCTCATCTCGTCGGTCAAACCCCGTTGCTTCCATCCATTCCAGATGCTACGTATCTGCTTGGATTGGGTCCTTCCGCCGGTAACATCTACCAACGTCAAGGAAGCTCGGGGACAATCAATCAGTCGCATGTATCAGACTTGGAATAAATGGAGAACGAAGAGCCAGTAAGTCATTAAGTGATTGATAATGAGGAAGTAGAAGGTCTCGGCAACTCCAGACACCAGTTCGCCTCATCGGGGTGCTTTAGCCCGGGAATCCTGATCAGCAGGCAGAATTGAATATAAGAGCGACCGATCATCGTCCCCGCATCTCCTGTAGCATATCGATATCCTATCGGTAGAAAAAGTTGCCCCGCAACGTTCTAAGCCTTGTTCTCGTACATCCGTACCGTCGGATTTCTCGCCGTGTGCTCGCTCCAAGTCAGGCGCAGCAGCCATGCTTCTGTTTTGTTCCAGACGAGGCATCGGACGGTGTCCGGCCCCGCGGACAGATTATTTATTTAGAATGTCGCTAGGTCATTGTACTGACTGGCATCGAACCACATCATCACTACAATGACTCTCGCCCAAAACCACTACGTGATACAACTCCCCGTAACCCCCCTAACAATCGGGGCACTAAGCCCCCGCGACATCGCCCAGCAATGGCTCGCGAACCTGGAGATCCAACTGGGCACATCGCCAGTCTCCCAGGTCAAGCTTTCAGAGCTCTTTCACAAAGACTCCTGGTGGCGCGACATGCTAGCTCTAGACTGGGACTTTCACACCATCCACACCGTCTCCGAGATCGAGCAGTGCATCAGTCGTAACCAGCCACGGGCCTGTCTCACGGCCTTCCGTCTCCAGCACGAGGGCAGGTTCCAGCCTAAGATCGAGAAGCCGGTTGAGGGGTTACGGTGGATCTCATCGATGTTCTTCTTCGAGAGTCGGGTGGGACGCGGCACGGGCGTGCTGCGTCTGACGCAGGACGAGGCCGGTGTGTGGAAGGCGTACTCGCTCTATACGAGTTTGCAGGAGTTGAAGGGCTTTGAGGAACCTCTGGGTCTACGAAGGCCTGAGGGACTATCGAGTCGATGCCGGGGAGTCGAGGTAACGGAAACTGGCTGGAGAGACGCCAGAGGCAGCTTGAATTCAAAAACAAGGAGCCTACAGCGCTCCTGGTTGGTGCTGGTACTTACTGCGTAATATCACTGTCAATCAAGCGTGCTGACATGCCGTAGGACAAGCTGGTCTCAACATGGCCGCTCGGTTGCAATCACTCGGGATCTCATGCCTCATAGTCGACCGCAACGAGAGAATCGGTGACAACTGGCGGAAGCGGTACAGAGTGCGTCCATGTTCACTTCTTGATATCGATTCCGTAACTCCGTACCTATGCTGACTGCCCAAGACCCTTGTGACGCACGACCCGGTAGAGTTCACACACATGGCCTACCTCCCCTTCCCTCGGAATTGGCCCCAGTTCACCCCCAAAGACAAACTCGCAGATTGGTTCGAAGCCTACGCCAGCATCATGGAGCTGAACGTATGGCTCAAGGCAAGCGTCAAGTCGGCCGTCTACGATGACGCCAAGGCCCGGTGGACGGTCACCGTCGCCCGCGGTGATACCGGTTCGGAGCGAGTCCTCCATCCCCGGCACATCGTCTGGTGCACCGGTCACTCGGGGGAGCCCAAGATCCCCACTTTCCCGGGCCAGACGCAGTTCAAGGGGACGGTGTATCACGGTAGCCAGCACCACGATGCATCCGACTATGACGTGAAGGGAAAGAAGGTGGTTGTTGTGGGGACCGGAAACAGCGGCCATGACATCGCGCAGAACTTCTACGAGAACGGAGCGGACGTGACCATGCTGCAGCGCAGCGGGACGTATGTCATCACAGCGGCCAAAGGGGTATTGATGCAGCACGAAGGGCTGCACGAGGAGAACGGGTACGTCGTCTCTCTCAACACTGCAATTGACCATGAAGGGACTAACGTACCCAGACCACCCACAGAAGAAGCAGACATCATCTCCGAATCCCTCCCGTACCCGGTAAAGTTCGCTCTAGACGTGCACTTCACGAAACGCGCCTACGAAGCCGAAAAGGATATCCTAGACGGCCTCAAGGCCGCCGGCTTCGAGCTCGACTTTGGCGTTGATGGGGCTGGTATATCCCGCGCGTACATGACCCGTGGTGGAGGCTATTACATTGACGTCGGCTGCAGCCAGCTCATTGCTGACGGCAAGGTCAAGATCAAGAGGAGTCCAGAGGGGATAGCCGGTTTCAATGACCGTGGCCTGCTCCTGAAAGACGGGAGCGCACTAGACGCAGAAATCGTTGTGCTGGCGACGGGATACGATAACATGCGAACAACTGTGCGCAAGGTATTGGGCGATCGAGTCGCAGACAGGTGTAGGGACGTCTGGGACTTGGATGAGGAGGGTGAGATCAATGCGGTAGGTTGATTCTTTTTGGACTGTTGAGCAACGATACTGATGATAGACGGACAGATGTGGCGACCAAGTGGCCATCCCGGATTCTGGTTCATGGGCGGAAACTTGGCCCTGTGCCGGATCTATTCCAAGTTCCTTGCGCTGCAGATCAAAGCCATTGAGGCGGGTCTTGTGTCACAGGATATAGTCCTTGCCAAGCTGTGAAGGAGGAAACAGTGCAATGTCCGCAAGGATGAAAGGCAAGCTGCACATAAGACAGGAATTGAGGTCATCCTAAGAATGGTAGAATATTCAAAACATATAGAGACAGGGAAGACAAACCAAACCAACATCCAAACGACACTCATTATAACATTATATCTTCTAGGCATGATGGAGATCGTCTCACCAGGACAAGGGCCCTCTGAACAGTGACACAAAGGCAAGTAGATCTCTTCGCCGGGCGCCTATCTTTTCGCCATGGGCAAACAAACATGTACAGAGCAGGAGAGCAAACAAGCTGAATCGCTGAATCACAGAAAGATGTACTCTCTAGCCTAAGAATCTCAAAACATATCGTTCGCACCATCGTCAATGATCATTTGCACATCCTTGATTGGATGAAAGAGCATAGGTGGAAGACACATTCTTCCCTCTCCAGCCAATTCTTCCTGCTCGCCGCCGTCATTGTCGACCTTGTAGCCGAGCCACCGCCGCCAGAGATTCGGTGAGAAGCCGGCCGAGTAGAACCAGGTAGTCCCGCGGAAGTTATGCTCCCGGTCACCGAACACAGAAGTCCGAGCACCACCAGATGCGCCGTTCCGGCCGGCGTTGAAAACGGATTCGAGGTACTTCGTCGGCCAGCGACGGTCGATGTACACAGAATGCGGCACGTAAACAGCCTTGAAGCCGTGATGCAACGCTGTGGTGGCAGGCCACATCTCAGAGAACATGGTATGTCTTTTCAGACTTGTCTCTTTGTGCATAGTGAGAAGCAACTTGCGCGACAGTCGAGAGGCAGTAATAATGGCTGTCCGTCGAGGAGGCATACCGTTCTCCTTATTGTACCCGGTCACATCATCGCGAAGAAGCCAGGTCGTGCCCTCCGGGTCATACAGAGGGTTGAAGACAATAAGGTCTGCCTCCTCGCCTACACCCCATTCGTTCTGATCCTTCTCCATCGTAGTCTCGGGGATGCCTTCACCATCCACCTCGAGAATGTCCCGCTCGTCGGGGCGTTCGGGTCCCCAGATCGGCTTGTCCCCTTGACGATGGAGAGCCGATCTGTCTCCAGAGGACGGGTCGGAGCCATGTTTGGCGGCCGCGCTCCATACATTGTTCGGGCTGTTGGTACCGCTCTCGGTCTGTACACGGACTGTATGTCGGAAATCCTCCCAGGATCCATGGACGGAGGGAACATAAAAGCGAGCATTTCTCTCCCACAGTAATTTGCGCGGCTGTTCCCGCGCCCAGCTGCCCACTTTGTCGAATAAATGGTACCAGTGGCCTGTGTATCGCACGTCCATCTCCCAGTTCCAATAGAAGTCGTACTCCGGATGTTGGTAGGCAAAATACTGCATTGGCATGAACGTGCTGCGGTAAACACCGTGAACAGGCAATCCACGCATCCATGTCTCTTCCAACCCAGGATAGATGAGAGCCATCTGCTGTTCTGACCAAAGAGTACCCATACCGCGGAATTCCTCGGGAAGAGCATCGTTGAGCACGCGCTCGTAGGTCTCGTCGTCCGACCAGATTTGCAAGTTTCCGTCTTTGACATGCACTAAGAAATGAATGGTATACTCTCCTCCAGACAACAAGGAGAGCTCCGAAATCAGCGAGCGCAAGTACAGAATGTCATCAGGCGTGAAGTGAAAATCGTGCCATGTCCGAATTACCACTGCTGTTCGAGGTAGACGATCCGCTTTCGACTGGGACGCTTCATCCTTTTCCTGGGATGGAGCAGAGGACTTTGGAACTCCCACGGGCAAGGAGAGAAAGCGATTCAGCCGCGGCTGAGGGAGGTCTTTGAAGCGGTGGCTATTGAGGGCCACGCACCTGTTCTGAGCAGCAGCCCAGTCGACGTGACGAAAGTCTACGGGAGGCAAATCGTCCCACACACGTTCTGCGCCTTCACGGTGTCCCTCCAAGCCTGTACCGATACCGCCTTTCCTAACACCGTATCCAAAACCGTAAGGACCAAGGCGGCCAAACCGTTCGAAGCAAACATCATCCTTGATACCTAGCATCTTATTTGAACCCATTACTGCATCCGGAAACCCACGGGGTACTCCAGGGTAATGCTGCACCTGGGGAATGCGAATAGTCTCCTGCTCATCGAGGAAGCATTCGCGCTTCTCACCATACTTCTTCACGTACTCATCTGATGCGTAATCTGGGTATGGATGGAAGACCAAGCTCGACATCAACGCTTCCTGATCTCTGGTTTCAATGTTGGCCCGACCCTTTTGATTGTCCGAGCCCATGGCCATCTCCTCCATTCCGTCACTTGGATATTCGGGTACGGACTCATTGCGCGGGGTCAATGTTCGAATACCACCATGATACCGCTTCAGAAAAGGGAAGCTCTCCCATTGCGCCGGTTTGGGCGCCACCTTTGGCAGTTCGAGGGCGACTTGCGTCGCGTTCGAGGTGACGGTGAAGCGGAAAAGGGTGAGGATGAACAAGACTAGTGCGGAGAACAGCGCGAGGCACACGTATCGCATTATCCGATTCGGGACACGATAGTAACCAACCGGCGTTCGAGAGCGCCGCGCCGAGGCGGCACTATTCAACATTGGCCGACGCGAACTGGCAAAGGAAGAGGTGAGGGAGTCGTCGCCGCTGTCTGACTCTATCGAACTGCGATGGTCATGGTGGGTATAATGCGTGCGATACGGCTGCTTCTCAATGTCCACTGCATGATGGCGAGTGTCTGGAGTATAAGTCGAGGCATGTGTACCGGAGCGCTTCCTCGTCTGGTTGACCATGGTTCACAGTGTACCTGGGAAGGTGGTCATCAACGGTAGATGTTTCCTATGAGCAACGTCACACAGAGGATTATAGGTGCGATGAGTGGGTCGATCGGTGGGCCAGCATCAATGCAATTCCAGAGGGACGAGACACAAATGCAATGGCTTGATTCAATGTCGGGTCAATCTGCTGTTGTAAACACAAATACTTGTCAGTAAGAGGTATTGCATATTGGAAAATGGAGAGAAATATATACCTTCAGAATGATCTCAGTTCAATCCAAAGTCAATTATTATGCAATGGTCCCTCTCCTGTAGGACAATATCAGATCTCTCGTAACTGAACCCGATAACAATACGCTTCTCTGGAATGTGGAGTTGGAAGGGGGATATCTCAGAAACAAAGCCTAGACAAGGTGATACCAAGTCTGATAGGACAATTGGACAAGTATCAAACAAGAAGAGCCAACGTCAACTCAAACAATGAGCATTGGAGATACGACCAGGGTCAGTCACCGCTATCGGCGTTACCCAAGGGATATCCAGCGCTTACGCACGCGGCACGACTAGCCAAGGAGTGGGTCAAGGTTTATCTTTTTTGGCTAAACAGATACGGATCATAGAGCTCGCAACTCAATATTTGACACTCTGGGGATAGCACTCAAGGTATGATCAAAGCTCAAAGGAGGCTATTATAATGATCAAATCTTGTCTCGCTCAGTTTTGTTTTCTTGCAAGTTGCAGCTCAACAAAATTGATGGAAATTCCACATTAAGTTAGTGAGGCGACGCTAGCCTATCTGGGTAATATGCTGATTACTGTGTATAGAGGAGGAGGGAAAAGCTCTGGAATCGCTTATAGAGAAGCTCTAGAGAAGATTATACAGTATACGAGCCTGAGACGAGAATCTTGTGTGCATAAGGGTGCTAGTTCTTGTTCGGAGAGCTTTACCGAGTACATAGCACAAGATGAGACTAGTGTCGCCTCGACTTCATGAACATCTCTTAGTCGCTCGAGTTTCAAGTCCAAAGTAAAGAATTATGACAACCGTCTTGCTGAATAAAGGGTATCTTCCAACTAGATTTGCTTTCTCCATCGCTTCTCGCGTTCCTCCAAGACGTACAAGCATCAGATAAGACCGCCATCATGCTCTCGGCTCCTAGACCGGTCAATCGTGATGGTGCCGTCCTTCTATAGTGAGTCGTATTCGTGTACCATCGCAATAGATCATTCTTCCAATATGCAGCACAGTCGCAGCCGAGGCATACCACACGTATTCAGCATGCCAGGAAAGAAGCATGCCTTCATGAAGCCATGCGGATGCTTGACGTTTCAACACCAAGTCGTAGTTTCGGTCACAGCCTCGGAACGACGCCATGAAGTCTTGCACGCATGGCAAGAGCTGCCAACCGTGTATAATTGAGAGCCATTGTCTTTCATGCGTTTTTCGTTCCCTTGACAACCTCGCCTTTCACCTTCGACCAGTCGATATCATTGTCAATCGCCTCGTCGACTTCGCCGCATAGAACCACATTGTCGCCTCGAATCAAGTAGAGTCCGTGTTCGATCTGCGAGCTCGGTTCGGGGTCATCCGGCGTTCGGATAATTCTCTCAACTGTGTCCAACAGGACGAGATTCGTCAACTGATCCGTGGACAAGAGTGTCCCTAGTAAGGTGCGGCCGTCGACAGTGAGAATGAGGACCTTTTCTAAGCATTACCATAGTTGTTAGCCACCATACTGCCATACCTGCGTCGCATAGTTCAGTTACCGCATAGAAGAAGGCGACTTACTATTGATGTAGGAGTGCAGAGACATGATGGGGAGCTGCGAGGCCGCTCAATGACGGGCTAAGGTGGTTCAAGTATAAAAAGTTCCGAGCCGTCCGCTGACTGGGCTGGTACCTCGGTGCTCCTCGGAATTGGGATTGACAGCCAAGTTCTATCTCAACAGTAAAAGTCGACAATAGCTGGATTCGGAATTGGAGGCTTCCTCGTCCGCCTTTGATAGCAGAGTGATCTGGACAAATCGGATGAGCTTGGATGATCGGACGTGACCCGCTTAAGTTCAATCGACCGCTGACAATTCGAATGATGGCGTTGTACTTGCAGAATGGATGTGCAAGAAAAAAAAAATTCGCCCGTGGTTAGTTCTGAACAAGCACAACACCCAATTCCGCCTTTCGCATTGAGATCCGATGCTTAATGTATCACCGCTCCGCCGACTGTATCTAGTCACGTGTGTGGAGCTTGGCCTACCTTACATCTCAAACTAAATCTACAAAACAGGAGATGCATAGTGCCTACAGATTGAAAGAGTATAATGTACTAAGAAAGTAAAAATGTATCCGACCGGGATATCATGTACACGAACTAACAGCCGCGTGCGTACTGACCGGCGGACTATCGGTATCTCACATATGATCAGAAGCAGCGCAGTAACACAGAGCATCCATTTATTTCTCGAAAACAATATCAGCAAGCCGTCCGATTAGCCGCTCAGCGCACTCAAGTCTAATGGTACACTGCTACCTCGCCCAGCACGGTACCGCCGGGGACCTCCCACAAACGGTCGTGGCTTGGGAAGCAGCCCGTCGCTCTGAAATTTGAACCGATTGTCTTCCACTCGCATTATTCCGTGCGAGCCCGTGTTCTGATGGCCGGGCGACGAGCCGCCATTGGTTAGGGTATAAGCACCCGGATCCAAGGTCGAACGGGTCACAGGTTGGCCAGGCGGCGGTGTTGGAGGTTGTGCTGGAGGTGGCGGATGACTGGGGTGTAATGCTGGTGCCGTTGGAGGAGCCGATGGCGGGGGTGGTGGTGGAGGCGCTGATGGGGCAGATGCTGCTGGAGGAGGTGGAGGAGGTGCGGATGGCGCATGGTTACCATGTCCGAGAGCGTTCCTGGCAGCTTGCACCGCAATAGAAGCAGCCACTGCCCCATTTGTATGTGGTGATGAGCCTGCTGCTGCCGGAGGTGGAGGTGGAGGGGTCGATCGTGCAGGTGCGGGAGGAGGCGGTCGGGGTGCTGAAGATGCCGGCGGAGGAGGAGGAGGTGCAGCTGGGCTCGAAGGGGCAGGGGGTGGAGGTGGAGGAGCTGGCGAGGACGGCTTCCTCAACGTCAACGGAGGAGGTGGCAGTTTCGTAGAACCAGGTAAAGGAGGAGGTGCGCGTGGAGGTGGGGCATCCGGGGTGGTTTTGATTGATGTAGAGGATGAGACGGTTGAGGAAGGCCTTGAGGCTGKTCTCGGCGGAGGTTTGCGCAAATTGGCAACTAGCGGGTTGAGCGGAGGGGCAGACGGCGATTCTGTAGAAGACGGTGGTAGTGGTGGACGAGCACCTGGAGGCCTTGGAGCAGAAGCGACAGGAGGCCGTGGAGCTCGCGAAGCCTCCGAGTCTGACATATAAGGCGAGTCACGGTTGGCTCCTGTGTCAACCCCGCCCCGACTGCGCAATTTGGGCATCCCTCCTGCGAAGAGTCCTCCCAGTTGAGGAGCAGTGGATGTACCGCTATCTCCACCGCCGCCGCTTTCGCTACTGCTTCGTACTCGGTTGGCTGAGGGAACAGGTGGTGCCAGGCCACTTGGGGGTTTCGGCATGCCAGGAACAGGAGGTGCAGCTGATTTAACTCCTCCCGCAACCAAGGGTGCCGATCTGTCATTTGTTACGGTCTTCTTCAGTCTAGCGCCTTTGGCGATATCCGAAAGAAGCGCGCTCTACCAGGACATTAGCTGCGGATCTTGGAAAGACAAGGAACCGGTTTCCTACTGACCCTATCTTTGACTTTGCCCTTCGCCGGCTGACTTGGAAGACTCCCAGACGGGGGAGGGGGAGGGGGAGGTCCGCCCATGCCCCCTGGTGGAGGAGGAGGGGGAGGAGGGCCTCCCATCCCTCCAGGCGGCGGCGGAGGTGGTGGAGGAGGAGGAGGCATCTTGGTTCGAGGAGCAGTAAACGAAAAGATAATGACAATCGAGTCCGGGTTATGATGTGTAGAAATGGAATGAAAATACGAAGGATTCAATCCCCCGTAAGGCTAAAGATCATCTGACAATTGTCAATCTTTGGCGATGGCTGCCTTTGGAGAAAGATAGTACGTCAGGCAGCTAAGTTAGTTGGAGGACGGAGATGAAGTAGTGGCGGTGCTACTCCAGTGTGCTGACCATCTCCGCTTTTTCTGGTCAGGTCTACCAACTCCTCAAAAGACAGCGCAGACTCACTCTCGAACCCCCGAAGTCTCCCACTCCCACCATGAAGGGCTTGAACATTAGGGGCCAGAAGACTTCTAGGTCACAGGCTCTAGTCTGTCAATTTTGTCAACTCTCCACAAGGCCAATTGCCCGTCAGGCCCCGTTTGCGCGATACTATTCATTCACGACGACAACCGCTTCCCGCGCTCAATCTAGACAATTGCGGCCAAAGAAGGATTCAAGAAGTCCATGGATCTCTAACAGGTTTACACCTAGCCGATTGACGTCGACCTCCTCGGACAAACCTTCCTCTTTCGACCCAGAGACGTCCTTGCGACAAGTGTCCCATGAGTCTGCCGAACTTCTCAAGCTCGACTCCGTGCCCTCCAATGAGTCAGTTGTGAAGATTCTACAAAAATGTGAACAAATAGCAGAGGCTCTCGTGAGTCGCGAGCAAGACAAAGTCGAGAAGTCTCCTTCCGCTGGGGAAGAGGGAAGTGCAATTTCCTCGTTACTAGATCTGGAGGAAAAGACCGCATCAAAAAAGCACTTCAAATCAATCCGCGACGCGCAACCCCGCCTAGCCGAGTCGCTGTCGCAGATCGCTACAGGACTTCTCAAGGAGGAAAAGGTCTTCATTTCGCCAGAAGCGATGGCAAGCTATACCAAGATCCAGACCCTTTTGAAGAAGGCCGACCATTTCCCCGAGATATTCTACCTGTACGCCCACAAGCCAGTTCCGGAGGAGAACAGTTCGCCTGTTAAATACCACAAGGCAAATCCCAAGAGCGTCAACAGCGCCATTCCCACCGAACTTGCCAACAAGGCGCTGGA